GGGTTAGATGTATATTTATCAGAGGTCATCTATGGTCATGGGAACATTAAAACCTGCTGGTTGCCTTCATTCCAGAGATGTGCAGTAAACCTGAATACAGCTGGGTGGATGTGAGTGCTCATTCACCCATTATTAAACCAACAGTTCCCATTATCATTGTGAAAGGGTTTCTCTTTTTATTCAGCATTATATCAGAGCCAACAATGCTGCTCCCAGCACAGCGTGTAGAAGCAGGTGTGATAATTGGAGGATTGAAGAGGAGATAAAATCACATTCTCACCAATACAATGAGCAGCCAGTAAAACCAGCAATACTGGACTGCCCAATAGGATCATTCTCATTTTCTGCTGTGTTAGGCCTGTGTTTTGTACTTTTTCATGGTGTGGATGTTCTCCTAACGATCAGTGCATACTTTACTCTCTGCTAAATCAAAGCACTTTCTTTATTGAAATTGGTGGGGGGGGTGAAACTCCTGTCTGATGTTTATTTCATCTATGTCCCTGCTGGGGGAGGTTAACCCTCACTGTTGGTTCAGGTGACCCTTGGGCAAATTTGTCAGTGGGGAAATCTGTTCTGGTGACAATGGTCAAGACAGGATTTCTCAACCAGGCTTCCATGAAACTCTAGTGGTTTCTGGGGGTTCATTGAGCAATGATCAATTTCTGCCTCAGATAAGTTCCCATTGGTCTTTTTAGCTATTTGTAAGGGGGTAATTCTTCCCAATGACCACAAGTGTAAGGATCATTCTTCCTAATGCCCACCATACCAATGGATCATGAGTTGTGGGTGTTCCCTGATACTGGAAAGTATTTCATGGGTTCTTCTGTGTTGAAAAGGTTGAAAGAGGCTGATCTAAGAGATTATCTCTTCCTGCTCTGTTTTGGGGATAAGAAGTAAAGGAAAATGGCCCCAATGGGACACGGGCAACAAACACAAGCCTGATGGGGTGGGGGTTTAACTCTTCCCTACCCTTTTCAAAACTTCAATATTTTTTTTGTATTGCACATTAGCTTTCATGTCTTCTAACAAGATAGAGGCAGTGTGAACATGAGAAAATTGAGGATATTTTTGCAAATTGGTTGTACTGCCTGAATTGTTTGGGGAAGTGGGGTGGTTAAAGGTTCAAAGCAAGCCATTTAGAGGACAGTCAATGAAAATTGATATGTGCAAAAGTATAGATCATTCCAATTTTATTTTTCAGTTTCTTGTACGCTCCCTTCCTCACAAGAGATATGTAGGTTTGTTGCACTTCTGAAAACCACATACTATGTGCTGAGCAATAATGATTGTGTGCTTGAAGAGAACCTGTTACTAAAGCAAGACACCTAAAGGTTCTGTTAGTATCCGTTATTTAGTGACTAATGCTAAATTTCCATGGGTAGTGAATCATGACTGTGAAAGTAGTTTGCTATCCATGGGCGGGTGAGTTGCTTCCTTCATATTTCTTCTTTTAATAACTAACTACTTATTCCTTTAGTGTCTGTGACCAGACCGGTTTATAGTTGAAACTTTGATGATGGATTCTAGTTTGTTTGAGCACCACTTGCATAGACTTAACCAACTTCACCTTTCCTAACCAGGATTACATGGAACCCTAGTGCTGCTCATGAAGTTGTTGGGGGTTCCATGAGCTGTGGCAAATTGATCTTCCCCCTACATGCACCACCAATGCTAGGCGCCAATATATGTTTTTTTTGTACAATATTAGTAACACATAGCAGCCAATCAGGAGTCAGCGAATTTCAGGCCAGCATTGGATGGATTACGACTGATCACTCTGGGTTAATGCACTGAAAAGTTAAAATTTTAGTTTGACTGGTTGTGAATAATAACTGAATAGATGGAGTATGCTGCACAAAATAATACATCTTGACATGGAATTTCATACTCTAGATGGGATGGAGTAATCTTCCAGAATGTGTTTTTAGATGCAAATTTATTTTTTAAAGTTTGATAAAAGAGATCAATTTTTACCAGTGTTTTTATTAATTATGCCTGGGCACAGTTCACGAAGTGCAACAAACATTTGGATTGATTAAAAATATCTGGCAATTTTCCTTTCAGAACAAGACTCGTCAAACAAATAAAAGCCTATAAAATTATAATGTGCCATTAAGAGTGTTAATTTACTGAGAAAATAATATTCTAGGCTGGTTAAATTGTCCTGGCTGATGGTCTTTGTATCGGAGGCTCCATACATGCCTCGGCTTGCCCAGATTTGCTTGCTCTTCTCTACATTTTCCCACAGTTATCTGTGAACAAGATGGAATCCTGTTCTTTTGAATATGAAACATATTTAGGCTGTATTCCAAGCAGAGCCTCACAAAGAAGGGCTTTCCTTCAAAGGCTGCAAGCTCGGTCAAGTTATTAGAGGTAGCATTATGCTGACTTTTGAAGTTATCTTTGTACCTACACCTTCAAGGTGTTTACCTTGCTCCATAAATGCTATATATGCTTCTGGTTTGTCTTCTGTGTAATTACTGCATTCCATTTGTTTCCAAATGGCTTTGGGAACCACAGATGGTACTGTGGATGAGCCAAATCGTTTTAGCTGGTTTTTGCTTTGCGTAACTGGGAATTTTTAGGATCTGTGGATACAGCTAGGGGGTTAATATCCCATATTTCAGAATTGCCACCTCCGTAGTGCATTTTTTTTTTCTGTTGTCAATGCCTTATCTATCTCCTTTTTGTTAAATTGAGGTTTTTACATTTAACCCTGCCTCCTAACAGCCTTAAACCAATTCAGAAAATCATAAGGAAAATTCTGCTTTTCAATTCGATCGTACAATAAGCTGCTCGTCCAAAATTATTGTAAGGGACAAGCACAAATTTTTCTCGTATGATACCAGGTCGTACAATCTTCATTGTAATCAGTACAGTTTTCAGCCCAAAATAGAAAACAAATACATTACATCCTTTACGAAAATTCTTGGACAGAATAAAAATTTGTAAACTCTTCTCTTTTTGATATGCATGCAAAAGAAACTAGCAAAAAAAAAAAAAGACAATCCATGTTGTTCGATATTCTCATAGTGTGTAGGGGGCTTTAGGCACACCATAGATGATGTGATTTTCTTTCCTGCAACCACGTGTAGATTCCCCCAATGACAGTCCGGATAACCCTTCCGTGGAACTATTGTGTTCTCCCTGCCAAGAGAACATATTGATTACTCTGCTAGTGGCTATAGCTGCTGGCAATAATTGCATTTAAAAATAGTACATGCTGGTTAATCCCAAGTCAACTGTTTGAACGACTTGGGTACAATCAGTATGCCCATATATGGATTGAATCTCGGCCAGTCCCTGGTGAACCGACTGAGATTCAGACCATCTATGGCTGGCTTTAGATGGGATGTGTGTTTTCTGTCAACTGTCAGTTGGATGCCTTATAAAGTTCTAATTCAGAATGTCGGCTCATTTAAAAAAAAAAAAAAAAAAAAAAAATTATAGGGCTTTTTTTTTTTTTAGAGAAAAATTCGGACTCACTGTAAATTTTGTTAAAAATGCATTTCGCCACTCACTGTAACTTGCTCGGATACTCTGCTACACAAGGGAGCTATTGAAAAGGGTGTGAGTTGCAGTTTTACAGCAGGCAACGCTGAGGAACATCTGCAAATGGTAATGCTTTACTGAACATCTGTATTAGTCCTACAGAATCCAATTGTCTGATCGCCAAGGAGCACTTCAGAAACCACCCGTGCATCCTTTCAGAATTTGCATGTACCAGGTCATGAACATATTCAAAGTTGCAAAGCTATTCTCCTGAATTCTCTGTAGGGAGCGTTGCTTCCAAAACCCCCTTTTAATTGTAAAGCAGTTAAAGGTGACCTCATGTTGCCAAGAATTTCTACGTTATATTTTATGGAAAGTTCTCAGCTATGCTGCCTTTTGTTTCTAACTTGCTTGTATGATGGTACGACTGGAGATTTAGCCACTTCTAGTCATCTTAAAGACATGCAGTAAAGTGGTCCTATTGTAGCTTGAGCTTCTGCCTCTCTGCCTGCTTTTGGGAGTAGAGATAAAAGGTGGCTGAATACAATGGTTGGCAAGCATCCAGAACCAGAGGAGTGCGTTTTTTAAGCAGTAGATGCTTATGATTCTTACTGGAATGTATAAGATCTCCTGGTCAGATTAGTGCGCCTATAAATGTGACACATAGCTGTGCCCTAAAGGTTTCGAATGCTTAGGTCCGAGGCTTTGTATTAAGGAGCCTCTCCTCCCTCCGACCTTGCTAAAATTCATCAGTTCTTTCCCTTGTTACCTGATACTTGTGGGAGCAGTGATGGTCTATTGCAGACAAAGCTTTCAAAGAGGTGCTGAAAAGCAAAATCTCCCAGGAGTCCTCACTTCAGATGCTCAGTGAATTACTGTTTGCAGTAGAACCATGAGTATATGTACATATTTTGCTTTCCCAGTATCCGGTCTGTGTGTTTGCTGTTGCTAACTTTTTTTTTTTTTTTTTTTTTTTTTTTTTTTTTTAGTTTAGTTTTTTTTTTTTAAATTGGTTTCTATTTCCTATCTCTGAGTGAAATGGAAGTGTTTATTAGTTCTTCCTAGTCTGGTCCATGAGACTCATTAGTGCTGACAAAGATTAGTAATTTAAGGTGAAAGGTCTTTGCTGAATCACCCTGGATAAGTTAGCTTAGAGGGGTGAAAGAGGATCACGTTTGATTCACCTAATCTGTTGCCGGTTTAGGTCTGAATGGGAACAAATAGTGTAGACAAGTTGTTTGCATTTGCTCAGACCTACACACACAGACAAACATGGGCATGCAAAAAAAATACATAAAATTACAGAAGGTTAATTTTAATGTTGTTAAAAGTGATGTGTAAAGATAGAACTCCTTTTGGTGGACTACCATATTCTTCATATTTAATATATAATCTTATTTAACTGTATGTAATACTTAAAAAGTATATTTGTGTTTTTTAAGCATGCCTTTTTATTAAATAAAAAAAAATAAACTGTTCGATTAACTGTAAATTTTAACATTTTTCAGAGATCTTACGCACTCGTTGTTGAGGCATGGGACTACAATAATGAAACCAATGGTAAGTATATAATCCATGTATGTACCTGTTCCCCTTTACATGTTTTTGGATGCCCACATGAAATCTCAAACTAAACCTGGTCTTATATTAATAATGGGTCATCAGTGAAGCTTGGCACAGGAAGATTTTACTGTTGAAGCTCCCAGGATAACAAAAGCTGCCTCCCACCTAATACTGAAATATCTTTCTATTGCACGGAGTAACCCCTTAATGTAACATGTCACCTCTGCGATCAGTCAGTAAAGTGAGAAGGCACTCAAGCATATTTATTCTATATTTCATCCCCTTGGCACATTTTTTCAGTGCTAAAAAAAGTAAACAAAAGAGCAGCAACAGTCCATTCCTGTCAAGAGACCACACTGGGGCTCCTTTTTGACCTTCAAGTCAAACTGCTGGATTCTGTGATAGAAGTTTGTTTTCATTTCTTCATTTTGCTGCAAGCTAATGGTATTCCCAGGGCTTGTCATTGAAGTGGTGATCGGCTGCCCTGCAGATTGAAGGCCCCCTCCGAAAAAGAACATTATTGGTTATGAAAATGTTTTGAAATGTACAAAGATGAGGGCAGGTGCAGACCAAGGTCGCTGAAAGCCCTACATAATATATTTTCTTCCAAGGATTGTGGGAAGTACTACACAATTTTATTATATATATATATATATATATATATATATATATATATATATATATTTATATATTATGTGTGATACTTCACATAAAACAATGTCTAAAAAGACAAATAATGATCCTTCAAAATGGACCCTCTAATAAGATTCCTCCTAATAAGGATAATGTCTGTATGTAGAAGAGCTACTCTTTTTCACAAATATACACATGGACTGTGTGAAGCCAAGTGCAGTCTGTTGTATAATTGCAATGTGTATAGTCCATAGGGAACTCTTGCTGGAACTAAACCTCTGTAGCCACTGGGGGGGTACCAGAATGGATATCAAGGATAGGGAAGCCAAATAGACACTGAGGCAGTTCTTCATATAGTTGGAAGCAAAGCGCGAGTGCAAAAAGACATGGAAAGAAGGCACCTCCAAGTGTAGTACTGGCAGTTAACATACAAAGATAAAATTCCACTTACAGGAAGTCAAAATATGACAGCCTCATAATAGTAAATTAGACCGATGGTCCTGGTGGTATGGGTTAAGGGCCGTCCAGCAGCAGCGTGGCCTGTGGATTGCCGGGATGTCGGAACGAAAATGGCTGTAGAACCTCAGATGGTGTAGTGGAATGCATACGTCGGAAGTGATGTAAGGTGGGGGTGGTAACGTGTTTTCAGAGCATGCACAAAGGGCTCCTTCATCAGACCACCCTGTTGTATACTTTCAGACTTTTTTGGCTAAGAGGTGGCTGCTCAGCAGTTGACTTCAGTGTCTAAGCCGGATTACTAAACTATGTATAGGAGAATCTTCTTCTGGAAATGTTCAGGTCAGATGTGACCCATATTTCTAACATTACCTGATCCGGCTTTCATAAATTTGTAATTTTAGATGCATTGCACTGGCAAGCATTGGGTTTCTTGTTCCTATTTACTTCCTATGGGTTCTTAACAAGTATCCACACACCAAAAATGTTTTATTTCTCTTTTGGTTTAAAAAAAAAAAAAAAAAAGAATTTCAGCTAAAGTCTAACTGGTTTCAAAAATGTTCCCTCTCCCCTCCTAACACCTATATCTACTAACCAATGTAAGAAAGATGTTTTCACTTACCTAATTTCATCCTGGTCCTGTCATATGATCCCCTGTATCAGCGGCACTTGCAGGGGAATGAACAGCGTGCCCGACACCAGCTGGGAAAGCCTGGATCGATGACACCACCCATTGGCTCCCATGCTGTAACTGTTGTCTGCGATCCCTCCTCTCCCCTGCAGCTGCTGCTCGCTGACACAGGTGACCTGGATAATGTGGCCTGACAGGAGTTGTCTGTAAATGGACAAGTATATCCATCTTTTTACACAGGTTTGTTAGTATAGGAGGAGAGATTTTTAGGACTAGTTAGGCTTTAGCTGGAATTCTACTTTAATTTTTTTTTTCCCTACAACACCTTGCATGTGTTTTCTTATATTGGGGCTTATTGTATTAAGGGTCAGATGCCTTTTTTTTTTTTTTTTTTTTTTTTTTTTTTTGTGTTGTGGATGCTCTTTTTGGGTCCCATTGAAATTCATGGGAGCATTCACAAAACTCAAAGGAGCAGCAATGCATATTACAATGTGTACATAAAAAAAGAAAAAAAAAAAGTAAATCGAACTGGTATAAGGGGAACAATTTCATGGCACTCATTTATTGGCCAGCCTTCAAGGGCACCCTGAACTGCCTATGGAAATATCCCTTTCAGATAGTTCATACATAGGCATGCCTACCACCACTGTCACAACCCATGGCTGTGAGCAGGCTTCTCATTTGGTCGCTAAAGCTTTAGTTATACATTGTAATGTAGAGTCTGTGCAGAGTTCCAAAACCCCTTTTTGAAAGTCCAGCAAAAAAGAGGCAGTAATATATTGGATCAATAATGGCGCTCTGCGTCCAAATACTTTGGTTTTATACCATTTTCTTTAAGATAAAATGGTTTGCATCAAAACTGTATTACTGTAATCTATTTGTAATCCCTCCCGTACTTTCACTTAATCTGATCAAGACGAGCTTAATTCAAGAATTCTGTTGCAAAGAATGCCTTTATAAAAAAAAAATCTGCTTTTGTTGACGTTGGTGCTAAATATAACATACCGCACTTGTTGATGGTGCAGAATAGTTTCCAGGGATCTTCAAGTAAAATATGCAAAGTTATTGTACTTTGGGGAATAGGCATAAATATCTTGGCTAAATTGTTCAGACATTGATTTTTCCTGTGTACAGAATGAAAAAACCTCAACAGAGAAAGGCGTTTCAGATGTACAGCAGGAGGTTTTTAAAGGGCCGTCTAACTGCGCTCATTCTAATTTCACTTTTGTAGTTGCCTAGTGCATGGGGTGGGCAACTGTGGGCCTCCAGCTGTTGGTGAACTAAAAGTCCCATCATGCCTCTGCCTTTTGGGAGTCATGCTTGTAACTGTCAGTTTTGCAATGCCTCATGGGACTTGTAGTTCTACAACAGCTGGAGGGCCACAGTTGGCCACCCTTGACCTAGTGTATGTTTTAAGAGAATGGGCCATAGTCTTTGTGTGGTTTACTTCAATGGAAACACGCTAAACATAACTGCAAAATGTTGAGTTATAACTGCCTGATTATGATCCTTGTGGGGTCAGCCACACATTTTGTGCCCATCTTTAGCTCTAAGATGTCTTGGTGCGTGAAATGTCCTCTTTTTATATAGGACTGGGTACCTTTTTTTTTTTTTTTTTTTTTTTTTTTTTTTTTTTTTTTTTTTTTTTTTTTTTTTTTTTTTAAACCGTACAGCAGGGGTCTCCAAACTATGGCCCTCTAGGTGTTGAACTGCAAGTCCCATGAGGCTTTGCAAGACTCCCAGAGGCAGAAGCATGATGAGACTTGTAGTACTTCAACAGCTGGAGGGCCATAGTTTGGAGACCCCTGCCATACGGGCTTGTCTGTCTTCCTGGAGATGTTGAAATCTTGTAAGCTTAAAGTAGAACCCTGTGGTGTGTTTTTTTTTTTTTTGTGTTTTTGTTTTTTCTTCCCACTTTTGGATACAGTAAGAGGGTTCTAACCCCTTTCAGTGCCTTCACTTTCTGTCCCCCTAACCAAAACAGGAAGTAAAAGGAAATCCCTGCAAATTAAGAGCATTTATTGGGGCCCTCGAGGTCAACAGAACTAGTGTCCCCATTGGAAGAATTTCCCCTTTATTAATGTTCTGGGGACAACCCAAAATTTGGTATTTTCTGTTACTTTCCCTTTTGATGATAATTGAAACCAGGACAAATAGAGAGGGTGAATCTCTCTAACGGGGTAGAGTTAACATTTTAACACCTGACAGGTGTTCTAATACCATTTCCACTCTATCCAAATCTTTAAGAAAAAAAAAATGTACCTTTTTAGTTATACTGATAGTCTTGAGGTGCTGTCTTATAGAGTCATGTTATGTGACACTATTGGTTATAGAGATAAAACATGGTTTGAAATGGAAACTAAGCCTAAGGCTTAGCCATATACTGGTGGAATTTTCTTTTGAAACTGAATAGAAATTCTGAAATAACATTCATCAGAACAAATGATGCTGCCATCAAAGACTCTACAGATTTCATTAGCCATTAATTTTTCTTCAATTACCATGCCAATGGTTCAAATGGAACGTTCAATTTTTGAGATATGCAGAAGCAATGTATTGTTTGTTCCTGTGACCATACTTCATTCCAATGTTTGTGACAGACAACAAAAAATTCTACTACCGCATCAAACTTTTACCATGCACATTACGAGAAGTATGATTCTTCCTGAACAGAAACCATATTCAGTAAGAATTTTTTTCAGATGAAAAATGAGAAAGTACCATCCTTTTTTACCTTTTTTTTTTTTTTTGTTTGTTTGTTTTTTTTCTTCAAACTGTTGTCGATTTGTGGCCATGACCATTAGAAAATCAAATTTAATGTTTTTGGAAACTTACCAATTTTTTTAAAAAAAGTGAAATTCTAACTCTGTATGGCTTACTTAACTGTAAGTGGATGTCTTAAAGCACTGGTACCTCAAAGAGAAGAGCAAAGAATCTGTCCTGCTGCATGAAGATTTTCTAGCAAGTGGAAAATCTGTGTTGTAATGGGTGCTTTTAATACTTGGAAGACTACTTGCCCAATCCATTGCATTAGGCTGTCAAACCTTGGGACAGGACTGGGTTATTTGTGGCCATTCTTGGAAAAGATGATCACAAGCTTGGTTTTAAGCATAAACTGCTCAGACGGATCATAGCATTATGTTCCTTTAACTCGTTTCTGCGCATATATCATGAAGTGTATTTGTTATACGAGGCACTCAGTTTCTTGTTTGCTATGCTAAATGCTGTTCTCCTGTGCTGATCATTCTTCACTTTGCAGTCAAAGCAGAGCTTGCTGCAGGTCGTAAGGCAGTGTCAGATCGTTTAAGTCATAAGGCCCAAGGTACAGAGCGAAATACCACAGATATATACCATATTCCGGGTTGCTGTGAAATATTATTCCAGGTTACAGTGTTAAGCAGACACGTGTTTTGAAAAGGACAGGTTGTGTGTCTTGGCACATCCATGCCAGTAGTTCACGTTAAGTTTTCTGTTTTAGTGTTTTGCTGAGCATTGGCTGCAGTTGTCACTTCAGGCTAACTTTTTCCTGATAGAACTTTTAGAATGTTTATCAGTCTTTAACATTTTGCTTACTATTTGGGAGATACGCTTATGATTTTCATTAATTCTCTTTATTTTAGGAAAACTAGATTTATATAAGCTGGTAAATTGCAACATTTTGCTCTTTTCCTACATATCTAGACGTAACAGATATATGTATTACTATAGCTTTAACATTAAAACATCACTAGTTCATAACAAATTGGCAGAAGCACTGTTGAAGAGCAAACGTCCACTTTGGCCATTTAAATGCTTGTGGTGAAGTCCACCCAAAATGGATATTTTGTGGGGGGTTTTTTGGTGAAACCTCAGATTTAAACTGATTCTTTCATTCAGGGATAAGAGGAGGTCTTTATTATTTCTATCTCTAAATCTTGCTAAGCCCACTACAGTGGTGTCACACCCTCACTGGTTTTTATACTCTTTAGTGCACAATCTAGTGAGAAAAGTGTGACCCCCTTCACTTGGCTCCATAATGGTCCCAACGGAGAACAGGACTGGGAGCTCTGATGGGAAGAATTTGCTTCTGGAAAATCTCCTAGATATAACGATATAACACATTAGATAAGTCAACCTGCTGGTTTCCATTCTTACCTTTTAAAAAATCTATCTGGGTGGCCTTGGCCTTTAGATTTTATTTGGAATGGTTGATCAAGATTACTGGCAAATCTTTGGTGATGTTAAATAGTAAACTTTAAATTTTTTTTTTTTTTGTTTAACTAGATCCTGATGACATTATAGACAAAGCCCTCCACTCTGGTATGATCAACCCAAGTCGTCAATGGCAAATATTAAAGCAAAATGCCGGGATGTCCCATTTTGAATATCAAATCAGAGTCATCTGTGATGAGTATTACTACGGCTTTGGCTGCAACAAATTATGTCGACCAAGAGACGATTTCTTTGGACATTATACCTGCGATCAGAATGGCAACAAAACCTGCATGGAAGGCTGGATGGGACCTGAATGTAACAAAGGTAATGCCTTCTGTAGTTCATACAACTCTTATGTCGAGCAAATACAATTTCCAAACTGAGAATTGTTTCGGGCCCTTCAAGGAATTTAATTTTATTGTGCACACACCCTTTCTTGAGGAGGCTGCTTCTTGGAACAGAAGACGAAATGATTTCCAACTGTGTTGAATCCTGTAACAAATACCATTTTATGATCTCTTGGGGTTCTCCAAGCAAGCTGCATTTCTCTTGTTCTTGGAGAATGACAAGTTCCAGCGGGTCAGGGAAGGCTGTGCTGAGTCTTCTAGTTCCAGAATTGCAGACATGCAATGGATTTTCTAAAGGGAATACATTTCTTTTCAGTGCTTTTTGATAAACAAGTGGAAGATGTTCCTACGAATATGTAATTTTCTATTTTCTCATTCCATATGGAGGCTTTGCTTTCTGTCTTTCAGCGATGCACTATACATATGCATTGCAATTCTATAAATCCTGGGGCCAATCTAAATCTTACCTTTTTTTTAAAAAAACTGTGGAGGAGTAAGGGCCATGTCAGACCAGTGCAAGTCGATGCGTCCACTTCTTTTAATGGAATAGCTCTTTTACTAGCCCAGAGCGTTGCCAAATCTCATTCACTAGCCAACGAGTGACATTCTGCTGGTTCAACTAATTGTGCATTTTTTAAGTTCTGGCAATTTTTTATATTTTAAAATTACTTTTTAATGACCTGTTCATTTAATCAGGGTAAAATCAAGATGTCTACGCTTTAGATGGCATTTAGAAAATCTTAGAAGGTACACAAAGTACTGAATAATATAAGGGAATGCAAGCCAGCAAATCCAAAATACAGCAAACAATATTGTATATTTGGTGTGAAAACCCCAACTAATATGGTCTGGCATGAGCTGCATTATATTGTACTCAAAATGTAGGGTGCTGGTAACAGGGATTAGGGGTTATGCACAATAAGAGAAGAAAACGATGCCAGATCCTCTGGCAGAAAAAATGCTCATAGTAGCTCTTTATAGCACTAGAGTTTGAATTGATGAGAATTTTGCTTTTATAAGTGTTTTTTTTTGTTTGTTTTTTTTTTTTTTTTTTTTGGGGGGGGGGGGGGGCTTTCCTATGCTCATTTTTCATTGTACACTTGAAACCACTGAATGCTCCTAAATGCACTTGTGATGGGTTTTTTTCTGCCTGTAAGCGCTTCTCTTCAAATATGCCTCTAAATGCTCTAATGTGCATAGACACATAACGTAAAGCTGCTTCTACAGGCTGAAGAAAAATAATGCATTGCTTTATGGCCAGTGTGCATGGACCCTAAAAAGACATAGGGGAGCTGTACGCACACTGTAAAATGTACAGTATCTCTGCAGATTCAAATGAAAACACCTGCTTCCCATAGGAGCAGAGTCTCAAGCTATCCATTAAACATCTGTAAAGGTAGTGATTACGGTTTGTATAGTTTTACTGTTTTGCTCTTGCAGTAGAACACTTAAACAGTAATAAAACTGCTTATTTTTTTTCTGGTCTTTCATTGACATTTACACTGTATTTTCAAACTTGCTTTCAGCAATATGTCGTCAAGGCTGTAGTCCAAAGCATGGCACTTGCAAGACTCCTGGAGAATGCCGGTAAGTAGTTGAGAACTTCTGAAGTTTGAGCTTTTGGAACCCCTTGAATTCAAATAATTGTGAAGGCAGTCCTTCAAACTGCGTGTTTTGGATCGCTGGCCAGTGCGGTATTACAAGGGTTAACACTTTCCAGTCTCCATCCCCCCACACCAAGTCTATCAATAGGCAAAAAAGTGAGGCATTCTTTAGAATGGGATTAGTGAAATCTCTGGGTCCCTTAGCTCTTGTGAGCCAGCGTTTGAGTGCTGAGAGGTTAATGGCTGAGATGGAATCTTGTCAGTAGACACTGTTTGTTGTCGGGCTTTGAAGTCGTTCGTGTTCTGGCTCTGATACAATGGAGAGCAGGTTTTATACATACCCCAACAATTTCATCATTAAAATATTGGGACAACGTGGAATTGCAGATTTTCTTTTCATCTAGTCATTATTTCTACGTAAAAGCTGAGGTCCCAGCTCCCGTGAAGCCGGTCTTATAAAAAGTGTGATCTCTGTTTTTACGCAAAACGATCATATGAAAAATGTATCTAAATATGTGCTTTTAATTACAAAATTGGTTTCTAGTAGAATGGCAGGTACGATGTATGTAGGCCAGTAGTAGGAATCGCTGGCATGCTTTGCCACAGGCTTTTGATGTCGATGGGGTGAGTTACCATACATAAAATGCAGGTGTTCAAGTCACAGAAAAAACAAGGGATCAGGGAAATGACAGTAAGTTGCACATAGGCAACCATTGCCTGGATTCATGGGTGTAGCCATTGGCAGGGATTCACTACATAGGGGTGTTTTGGAGAATGTCAAAGACATGTGACACCACTATTGTACACTCACCAGCCACTTTATACGGTACACCTGTTCAATTGCTTGGTTACATAAATTGCTAATCAGTCAATCGCATGGCAGCAGCTCAGTGCGTTTTAGGTATGTAGACGTGGTGAAGACTACTTGCTGAAGATCAAGCCAAGCATCAGAATGGGGGAAGAAAGGGAAATTTAAATGACTTTGAACATGGCATGTTAGTGCCAGATGGGCTGGTGTGAGTATAGCTACTGGGATTTTCACGTACAGCCATCTCTAGGGTTTACAGAGAATGTAAACCCAAAAAAGAGAAAAATATGCAGTGAGCAGCAGTTGTGTGGATGAATATGCTTTGTTGATGTCGGAGGCCAAAGGAGAATGGGCATTCGATTTTAGCTGAGACATTCAGATGGTAGGGTCAGAATATGGTATAAAAGCATGGATCCATCCTGCCTTGTATTAATGGTTCAGACTGGTGGTGATGGTGTGGGGGAGATTTTCTTGGCACTAGCAAGGTGTACCTAATAAAATGGCTGGTGAGTGTATATGTGGCATCAAAAGATAAACTGGGCCTTATACCGTAAGATACATGTTTGGCTTTTTAAGTCAAAAGCTTGGGGGGGGTTCTTTAGCCGCTGTTTGTAGGAAACACTGGGATATGCATCCTAGGACTTGTAGCACAATGGTAGCTTATGGACCATTGGACTTATCTCTTTGGGGGTCTGATTTGGAATAGTTATGGCATAGTTAAAGGTGAGCTCCAGCTTTCTTACAGTTTAATTGTGCAAGGGTAGGCAGTTAAATGAGAAACTTTGTAAATGTTATCTGTTTTGTTCCATTATGTCTGGGCAGGCTTGCATTCATTGTGTGACATGAGTGGGCAGACCTATGTGCTGAGATCTCTCCTCCTGACCTCCTTGAAGTTGCCAGCGATTCAACCACCAGCTACACTGTGTAAAGCTCGACCTGTCTCGTGGGTGGCATGTAGGCTGTCATTGCTAACATTGCCAAACAATGCTATTTGCCTGGTTGTCATGCTGATGTTTTACTTAATGTGAAACTGACCTGGAACAAGTATTCAGGTCGGGAGGTCTTCCTAATCTGTATGCTTGTTGCGGTCACTGATGCTGAAAAATATTGAATACGAAGTCCAAAAAGAGTGATAGATGGTTCATTCAGCAACACCATCTAAAAGAGCCAATGCATGCTTTTGGACTCTCGGGTCATGTGTCTGACACATTTTTGGAGTTTGTATATATAAATAGTTCTATATTTTATCCCTTAAATCCCCCATTTTATAGGAGCACCCTGTTTGTGTTTAGGAGCACTATGGCTATTATGCCCCATAGGAGTTTGTTGACCTTCTTCAATCCCGATCCACTGATGAGTCAAATCCAGCACCCCATTTTGCACATATTGCAGTTTATTGCTGAAAATTGAAGCCATCAACTAGCATTTTAAGAAGGTCAGCAATGACTACTTCTTTCATCTTGGTACAGTTCTACTCTAAGCTTTCTACAGTGTTGGATGATGGCTTCTCTTAGTTGTTGGTACCAAGGCTAATCATTTTTGTACTTGTCCCCAAAATAAACATGCCTTGCTGGGTCCCTGCTGGAACAACGGGCTTTGTTTTATGTTTTAAGGCCTTTCTCTTTGTACATCTCACCTCCCACTCAATGCCCAGACATGCACTACTGCTCATATTTGCTTAAGGTGCAACTTTCCCACACGCTATTAGCATATTTAAAAAAAAAAAAGCTTGTCTTTGAGAAGCCGTAACAATGAGTGGTGTGATTGGATCATAAAGAAAAGCAAAATTACAGGCTTATAATGGAGATAGATGTTGATGGTTGTGGTATGTGTTTCTTGATGACAAAACCAGGGTGGTAACCTCACTAAAGACTTTCACTTTTCTGCACATCCCAATGCAGTTGTCTGTATTCTTTACAATTTCAGTTTTATAGTCTTATCCCTAGAACAATTTTTTTTCCAGTAATTAAATTGATATGCTGATTCAATAGTTAATGGTATTTAAAGCCGTGTTAAACAGGCTATTTGAAAGGGTTTTTTTTTGGGGGGGGGGGGGGGGGGGGGGTTGCGTGTGGGTTTTTTTTTTTTTTTTTTTTTTTTTTTTTTTTTTTTTTTTTTGCACACAGGGCTTTAGTTTCATTTCTAAATTGAGCGAGTTAACACAGGTGTAAAAACTAGTCTATAGGCCTTTTTAAGAAGGCAGCAATCGGTCAGATTGGTTGTTATGCGCAGATCAGTCACAGATGAGGATTTTGATTGCTTCACAATGTGATACTGCACTTTGCAGACTGCTCATTGGCTCATTATAAGATTTATTTATTTTATTTCAAGTACTTATATAGCGCCGTCAATTTACGCAGCGCTTTACATACATATTGTACATTAACATCAATCCCTAACCCTCAAGGGGCGTACAATCTAAGGTTCCTAACACACATACTAGGGCCAATTTAGACAGGAGCCAAATAACCTACCAGCATGTCTTTGGAATGTGGGAGGAAACCGGAGTATCTGGAGGAAACCCACGCAGTCACAGGGAGAACATGCAAACTCCAGGCAGGTGGTGCTGTGGCTGGGATTCGAACAAACGACCCTAGTACTGCCAGGCGGAAGTGCTAACCATGCTGATCGTAATATACTTCATACGTGGGCATGTATATTTGTGATCTGGTTGAGTAAAGGTTAGCGGCTTGATTCTGCCACTAATAACCAAGGAAAAATAAGCCCAGTTAGTTTTACACAAGCTGTACGTTTTAGTGTTCGGCATTTTCTGGCATATTAAAGCATCTGGCTGCTTTATGTGGCTGTGATCCTTGAAGCTGCTTTTTACATAAATAACGAATGATAAAGCTGCTGTGCCGATTGATAGTCTTTGCTGATATACAGACTCCCTATACCCTTATCAAATGCATCTATTCATCTAATGGATGCAAATTTCTCCATTAACACCTATGAACTTCTGACGTTTGTGTATTCTTTTGTACTTTCTTCGGTCTTCTAAATTCACCATCTATGACTGAGAAATAGGTCTTAATAGGTTTTTGTTTTTTTTTTCCTTTCTATACTTTAAAAAAAGAAACCGTTTTTCAGTGTGGTCCATCTCCTCAATGGCTGATCCAATACTTACGGTTGGACTTAAAATGTTAATTTGGTCCTAGCTGTGAAAGAGATTATATAAAGATGTTCTGCAAGCCATTACATATGTACTTTCAGCAATTAAATCTATTTACATTATTCGCGTTTTGGTCTGTGATTGGTAAAGGAATGTGCACAACTTTGCATTGCTTTGGGGTGCACAAAGTATCGGATGAAGAATTTTTTTTTTTTTTTTTTTCTTGTACTGTCCAATGAGGGACACAAGAATGCAATAATTCTTGTTCATGTGCATATAACCCATGTGTCCAAGAATTATTGCATTCTTGTGTCCCTGAATTGACTCAAACACCCATTGTACTCTACAAAATCTTAGGCTGGCCATACATGGATTGAAGTTCAGCAGGAACCAGACACATTTCAATCCATGCATGGCCATTCCCTTTCATAAGAATTTGACCTATCAATCACCTTTTTTATGAATGGTCCTGATAGAAAATTTTTGCTTCAATCAGCTGCAGTTCTAACAGAAGGGGAGTCCCGCTGTCAGAATTTAATGACACAGAGATTTCCCCATTCACCTCAAATATGTGGATGGGAAAATCCACTTTTGTGGTGTGTTTTTTTTTTTTTTTTTTTTTTTTGTTTTTTTTTCTCGCTCAGCCAGCCGGACTGAAGACTGATCCATGTATCACTAACTGTAGTGATCAGTAGTATGTGACCTATGATGAGTTCTTATTCTCAAGTGCAGTTTCCCTGTCAGCTAATCCAATCTCCCTGCCTTTGGACCAATACTTGATTTCTGATTGGGGGCTGTTGTTCCTAGACCTAAGAACGCTTAGGAATAAAATGTTTTTTGTTAATAGTCAAATGTGTTAGATCCTGGTTTCTTAAACCTGTAGTTATGCAAGCCACAAAATTTAAAATTCCCATCCAACAATGCAAGTAATGAATATAGAAGAAATTCTACCTCCGCAAGTGGCAAGGGATAAATAACATAGACACTTGGCTTGAGAGAGAGTTTTATGACACAGTGTAGTATGTGTGCTTGGTTGGCATGGGTTCTTTTCTGCCTTGTTGGTTTAGAGATGGTCCAAAGCAGCCTTTCTCAACCAGGGTTCCATAGAACCCTAAGGTTCCTCCAGAAGTTGTTAGGGATTTCTTGAGCAAGGAGCAACGTCTGCTGCTTAAGCTAAGTTCCCACTGACACCAGAGATCTTTTTAGATATCACACCGCCCATCACACTAATGTACAGTAAGCTGTAGATGTAGTTATCAGGGGTTCCCTGAAACTGGAAAGATATTTCAATGTTTCCGTCATGTTAAAAAGGTTGAGAAATGCTGAGCTAAAGATTGAATTTATTGTGCTTTTCGAAAACTTGTCGTCTTTTTTAGCTTATATTGTATTTGTTTCTGATACACAAGTTCATAAACTGTGCTGCTACTAAGCCTCTGAGGGTTAAATGGCCTTGCGTTTTCCCCTCCTTCCTTTAGAACACACTAGCTTTCCCATGATTGGGATTTGCAGCGGCAGATCTTTATTTGAAGTCTGAATGACCTCTATCTAATGGTTTATTTTTTATAATTCTGAAGCCTGCTTCAAGGGGATAAGTTTGGTCTTGGGCATTTTTGGAGTGTTTAGCTTTAGAATCCACACTGCAATATTGAAGCCCCCTCTGGCCTTTAAGAGTCGTGTGTCTGTTTCCTATCTCCACTGCTTACTTCATGTGGTTCTGATTTTTTTTTTTTTTTTCTTTTCTTTTCTTTTTTTGCTTTTTCGTGACGGCTTCCCCTCAGTACTTGCGGATATAATCAATTTTACATACAAATAGTTTCTGAGTTTGAACTTTTTTAAAAAGACCACTAAACATAAAGCAGAATTACTTTCCAAGAACATTGACAAATATAAAAGTACCCATATTTACAGGAAATTGACTTGGATTTATTTTATTTTTTTTCTTCTATACTATGTTGGCTGACATTTTAGGCTAAAGAGGCTGAAAACAGTTGGCAGTAGTTTCAGAATTCAGCTTTGTGTTGGAAAATATCCCTTCTCTGTTCATTTTAAAAGTATTTCTTACAATGGCCTGAAACTACTTTATATCAATGTATAAGCTTATGTCGATGGCAGCAGAGTGTCTTAATTTTAGCAGTGCTGGGGGCCCGGTGTGCGTTTTTGGCATTGGTGGACATAAATGAGTTTTTATATGACATTTATCCTCACACTTTTAATTTATGTTCTGTGAATGGTTTATATATCAAAGGAAATGTGTACTGAATAAAATGTGTAGGCTGCCATTGCTGATAGCCATGTACCTAGTATTTTCGGTAGGTTATCTCTAGTTGAACATTTTTGGAATCCCTGACCTAGAAAAAAAATACAGCATATGAAAATGGGAGTGAGGCCAAAATTCCTGATCTTCAGGTCAGCAATTCAAACCATTGGATCAAGCATGGCTATATTTGATGGTCCTTTCAAATTATATGTAAAACCAAAAGGGTTTTTGTTTTGTATAGATCAGGGAATGTTTGATACAGGATGAAAAATATCTCCCAGATGGGACAAAGACACCTTGATGGGTGAAGGGATGACTGTTGCCACCAGAAAGGTGCCCCCATTGTAATGCTGGGTACATACTATAAGAAAATCGGGCTAATGATCATCTTTTTTTGATATTTGCTGTACAGAAAGTCAAACCCAAGGATAGTACTAATTGTAAGAAAATTCTCGAACAAAGGCTTTTTTAGTTTGATGTAGAAACACTGTACCATATATTATTATAGTTTTTCTGATCCAGTCTTTCAAATCCAATTTGTATGAAAACAGTACGCATTAAGCGAAAGTTGGTTCTGTTAAAGTACGAGAAAAATTTTAGAGTTCGCCCCTTCGGAAATTTCTCTTTTTAGAAAGTCTGAATGGGATATTAGAAGTTGTGTACACACTATATGAAAAACAAGCAATCGTTCCTCATGCAGAATTTTTTTTCTGATTTTCTTAGTGTATACCCAGCTTTGATTTTCCCCTAATCTCTTGTTTCATTTACAATTCACAAAAACAACAGTTTTGGTTCCACTTATACTTTGATCATCTTCCACACCGAAACTGGCCAAGCGTCTCTGAGGGCAGTATTAAACTATAAGCTCCACTTGGCCAGGTCTTGACATGAATGACTCAATGTGTTCTATGAAGTGTTGATGAATATGTAGGCACTATATTAAAAAAAAAAAAAAAAATGTTTAGTGGTCTTTTAACGCTGTCCTTGTACAAGAGACCCCCACCAAAAATGTGTACACATACAAGTGTGCACTACATCTCCTCCTCCCGCTTTAGAGACTGCTATGGGTAAAAGCTTCAACAGGAAGGCAGCATTTTCATTGTTCTGTGGGACTTTTTATTTTTACGCAGAATTGATTGTCCAGTCTGACATCGCCAAGAGATTGATTTGTAGAGCACAGCCACCCTCCCTGTCTCATTTGAATGAACGTAGAATAGAGTATTATTGTGCTCAGTGGCACCATGCAGGGTCTCTCAAAACAGTGATTCTTTTGTGAAAAGATTGGCTTGAGGACTTTGGCAAAACTACTACTGGTAGGTTTGTTTACAAGAAAACACCCAATACACCCTCAAGGAATGTATTCCCATTTTCTTCACTAGGGATGGATTCCTCTGCACTGAAGGCGATTTGTGTAAACCTTTTCATTTCTTTCTTTTTTTGTTCCCAAATGCAGATGCCAGTATGGATGGCAGGGACAGTACTGTGACAAGTGCATTCCTCACCCGGGATGTGTCCATGGCACTTGCACTGAACCATGGCAGTGTCTGTGTGAAACGAATTGGGGTGGTCAGCTCTGTGACAAAGGTATGCTAATCATACAGCAGACTCTACTCTGGGGAAAGCCTTTTCTTTCTTGTTATGTAAAGTTGTGTTAATCATCACATTCCATCACTTACTGGGCTGGTGTACAAGATCTGGAGAAGAGGAATGTGTCTGTGTTGTCTATAGCAACCAGTCCTATTCTATTGGTCAGTTGTCTGGTGCTGGTCGTGTCATTAGTTACCTGTAACAGGCTCAAATCACCGCATTGGCTGGGCTACATACCTCAATTTTCAACGCAAAAACAGCCACAGCACAATTTTTGGCCAGCTTGGGTTTGGTTAAAACTCAGTTGAAATCTTGTGAGTTATTAGGCCTTGTTCAGTTGGGTATACTACAGTGTAAACCTGTGCAAGGGCAGTGTTTACCTGCATGGGGATACATAGGTGTTCCATGCAGGCAGGCCCACTTATGTAATTTTGGGACGCAGCAGCTGGTTGGACACAGCCACTGCTCCCATCCATGCAGGTGCGAATTTGGGGACATGCACCCACAGAGATGTCAAGTTGGGAGCAGCGACCGTGTCTGTGCTGCCACAGCATCCTAAATTACATCAGTGGGACTGCCTGCATGGGGATGCACGGAAATCACCTGCGCCTCCCTGTGTGGGTGAACACGCGGCCTTGTACGGTTGTATGCTTGGTGTGAACGAGGCCTAAAAGTCTTGTGTATTAGGACTGCAAATTTAGAAAAACACTTTATTGGCGTTTTGAGAAATGTGTGAGTGAAAGTGAAATGCACCTTTTTCTGAGTGTCCTATCCTTTTGGCAGATTTGAACTCCTGTGGAACATATCAACCTTGTCTAAATGGAGGCACCTGCAGCAACACCGGCCCTGACAAATACCAGTGTTCCTGTCCGGAGGGCTACTCGGGGCAAAACTGTGAAATAGGTCAGTCTTGGAGAGTGTATCAGTGTCTGTCTGTCAACGTGTTGATTGAGCATTGCCTGTCTATAGAAGAAAAAAAGCCAGTAGACTTTAGTGTGTGTGTTTGTATATGTGTATAATAAATTAAGTATGTGTTGTTTTTTTTTATTTTTATGTTTTTTATGTTTTTTTTTTTTTTTTTTTTTTGTGCTAACTTCAGGAGATGTTTCACTTGCCCAGACTAGACTTGGAGTTTGTATGTAGTTGCTAGAAGTTACAAGTCTTTCAATAGACATGATAAAAGAGGCTGACTGTATGCAATGATTAGCTTCCTCCATAGTTCACATAATTATGGGCAAAAGGCATGACTGATTTTGAGACCTAGAATCTTGAAAGCTTGCATTTTATCTCATAAAAAGGTATTCCTTTAACCCCACAATTTCCATTTTCTATAGTGTGAGGTTTTTGTGTTTGTCCTGCTGATACTGGTGTAGTTTAACTGCTGCTGTGCCCCCCTCCTCTCCCTAATTGTGTGACAGTGCATTCTCCTAAGTCTATGGGAATCTGTTAGTCCTGGCTCAGACTCAAGCTGATCTAAGCTATGGCACATTGATCAGGTCAGCTTAGCATGAAAGATTATTTCCTTCTTGTTTGAAGTTGTGTTAAACCAAGCACTGTTAATGAGAATAAGATATAGTAGTATTAGCACTGGTCACATCTTATGCAGCAAGGTGGTCTGCACATAGGACAAAACTTTTTTTATATTTTTTTTTTTCCCAGCATCCCTTATAATTTATAGTTACATGTCTGTCATTTTTGTAGGTCATTAATGCAATCTAATCTTTTTTTTCAATACAGCTGAACACGCCTGTCTGTCTGATCCTTGCTACAATGGTGGAAGCTGTATGGAGACCACGGGAGGCTTTGAATGCAGCTGTGCTCCAGGATGGATGGGACCAACCTGCACCAGCAGTATGTATCCAGTTATAGAAGAGAATTGGTGAAATAAATAACCTAAAATCTGCCCTGCTTATGTAACTGAGCAACAATGAATTGACCTATAATACATTATAATTTTATTACCCAAACTAAAAGCTATGTGGTCATCACGGGCTACGTCTCATCAGTGTAATGCATTGCACTGCCTTGTTAAGCATGCCTCCTGTATGTGATATGATCTAATAATAATTCCTTCTCTTTTAGACATTGATGACTGCTCTCCAAACCCATGTGGGCACGGTGGTACCTGCCAGGATCTGGTAGATGGATTTAAATGTATTTGTCCTTCCCAATGGACTGGCAAGACGTGCCAGATAGGTAAAGATCATAATTATTTGTCTTGTATATGTGATAGTTTAAATGTTCTAACTTAAGGGGTCCCTTTTTGGAGAAGTATGGGGTTGTAAAAAAACAAACATCCATACTGACCGCTATTGTGCAGCTGTCTCATGTTGAATCTACGCTTGTGAACTGAGCAGTCAAATGACCACTGATCAGTCTGTTCTCAGTCTGCTCAGAGTGGAAAGCGGTGACTGTCAGTCTCGGCTCTGCCCCTCCAGCACTCACTGGTGCATTGGGCAGGTTGTAGTGGGCAGGCATAGCTGGCTCTGGCTTTAAGCTCTGCACTGAGAGGCAGAGCTAGCTGTCAAGCAGTGGAGTGGATCCTGACAATATTGTTGGAATCCTTCCAGAGCCTACAGAAACTCTGCCCGCTATAAGCTGACCCTGGATCACATGAGAGCAAAAGTATATGCACTCTTGTGAACCACAAAAGATGTTTGACCATACACTACATTTCCCTTTGTTAAATGCAAATTGCCTATTGTAAGCATTTGCTGATATTTGTGGAAATTCTCATAGCAACCATTTGGGTTGGGTCGTAAGGAAAGGCTTATAAATTTTTTTTTGTTTTTTTTGTTCCATATTAGGCTGGATTCAAGTTCTCTGTAGAAAGATCTCCCCTTAAAATGATATCCTCAGCTTTGTATAGGATTGTCCAGCTTGCTGTTTGTCAGACAGTTTTTTTCTTTTTTGTTTCTCTTTGGTTGTGCATTGCATTTTAATTTTAAATCACTTTTGCCAAATATATATATATTATATAATTTTAATAAATCTCTTTAGGTTTTTCAGTATAATCTAGAGTTTCATCTGATGGTCTTTTAACGTGTTACTGACATACCTATAGTTGTCTTGTTTCTGTTCTATTGCTTTATTTTACTCTCTAATGATTGTATTCCCTTTTGAGTGTTTTCTCCAACCCCAGAGTGTTTTTCCTTTTTATTTACCATAAAACTAACCCCCATGCTATGGGAATGATGGGGTTCTAGTTAGAGTGCCGATAGCTGTGGCAGGTTGAGATTCAGCATTAACCATAAATAAATGAGTATGTTTAAACTAAGTAGTGCACTCTGGAAAAGCATTTAACATGAGCCCATGCTCTCCCCTGCTTGGTCCTGTGGGAAAGTTGCTGTATCTTTTCAGCCGTGTCAACTCCCACAGACCAAGGAGTTTACAGCTGGGTTCCAAAATGTGGATGATCTCATGAAGAATGACTTGTCTGCATTCTTTATGAAACTCTCTAATCTGGCTGACAATAGTGAAGAAAGTTTCCCTCTGCAATGCTCAATTGCCTCTTACTGCTCTTAATGAGCAATTGGGCAAATACCAGTGAATTAAAGGAGCTGGTTTTTAAGTCTGCCAAAAAAAAAAAGTCTCACCTTACAGGCAAATGTGAGCACGTTTCTGTTCTCTATGTAGCTGAGGCTAGGAAGAAGCCAGTTCAAAGGTTACTCTTCTATATATTCATAGGAAATTAGGATGGAGGCACACAATAAGCCCTAGGATTACTGGAGCTTATATGTATGTATGGGTCTGGGAAAATAAACGCACAAAGCTTATTTGTTTTTGGGTTATTTTCCTCCTCTCACAGACTTGGGAATAAGTTGAAAACCCCCACCATATGTGTATACATATATTGAACTGTATGCTTTAGCTTTTATTACAGTACATTGTAGCATGAAATTCTTACCTTCGCCAAAAAATGCGGACATGAAAATGAATAGACGTCATTGTCTTATTGGGGTATTACCTAAGCTGATGCTTTGGTGGCGTTGTTCACAGCAACTAGATTTTTTATCCCAGAAACAAAAGTTGCTATATTGATAAGGAAAGTACCTCCAGTTTGCCTTTCCTCCTGTAGAAGTGGCAGAGGTCAAATATAAGTACCCTTTGCATTGCAGCGTGTTGTAGGCCAGTTTACATTTTCCTTCTGTCTGGTCTTTCTTGCTTTGTTCCCGAATTCAGGAAAATCCTTTTCCTTTTCTGCCCTAGTGATCAGTGTCTTTGTTACTACTAAAGTACAAATTCAACACTCTGTAACTGTCTCCAGAACCGCAGTATAGGGGTTGTCTTCCAAAAGGCATACATATTTCAGTGTCCATGGTGGGATTTACCCTCACTTTAGGACTTCTTCTCACTTCCTCTTGTGTCTACAGGACAGGAAATGTAGGATCTCTGTCTTTGGTATGAAAAATGAAAAATCTAACACTCTAGAAGTGTCTCCAGAACAGTATTATAGGGGATGTTGTTCAATAGGCATATATATTTCAGTGTCCATGATGGGGTTTACTTTCACTTTAGGACGACTTCTTGCTTCATCTTGTGCCTACAGCACAAGATGTGTAGGAGCTTCCCATGAGGACAAAGACAAACTCAAAACTAGAAACGTGTTAGTTGGAGACTGACTGGTTGTTTTGAAGACCAGACCTATGGCATATGAAGCTGAAAGTTTATTTTTTTTGGACAGCAAACTGAGGAATCTGATAACAGTTGTGGCTAGAATGCTGAAATGCTGTTTCTAGTATCTGTCTTGGACCAGTCTTTTTCAACCAAGGAGCCCAGGCTCCCTGGGTTGCTTTCTGGTTCCTTCAGGAGTGCCTTGGCAAAATTGCCCAAAAATTGTTTACAAGCCAGCAGGTGGATCAAGCCTGATTTTTAGTTGCAGAGAGCCACAGAATTTTCATTGTAAACTACAACCTTCTGGCCACCAGAAACCTAACAACTGATGACATCAGTTGAGGAGGATGTTGGGTGCCTACACATCACCTTTGTTTGCCCCTCCCCTGCCCTTCTCTTCTCAGCACTGTGATCACATTAACTGAGGGTGGGAAAAGAAAAACATTTGCATACTAATCAGTACCAGTGTGCGAAAGTGTATATGCTTTGGGAGAATAAATCAGCTGTAATATCGGGTGTCCTATGTGTGTGCATTATGTAAAATGTTTTGTTTAGTTTTTCACATTTTGGAATGGGTTGCCTCAAGATTGTGTTTTTCAAATTTTAAAGGGTGCCCTGACTGGAAAAAAAGGTTGCGAAACACTGGTTTAGACAACTGATTGATTTTTGTTTCTTTATTTTCTTGTAAGATGCCAACGAGTGTGAAGTCAAACCCTGTGTGAATGCAAACTCTTGCAGAAACCTCATCGGCAGCTACTATTGCGACTGCATCCCTGGCTGGACGGGTCAAAATTGCGACATCAGTAAGTATAGCTTCCCATTGACCTCTACTTGTCTGCATGCCAGCTTGTGCTGTATGTTCAATGTTTGCTGAGCCATAACTGCTGCTTGAAAACTGTGTAAACCTGCTCTAATTGGTTTTAGTGCATATCCCATGATCTCTACACCTTTGTGCCACCGAGAAAGCAAACCACTCCTAAAATAAGCCAGGGTATATCTAGTTGGCAATCCATGTTGAACTGTGTGCATTTTCTGATTAAGGAAATTTGATCTAGGACAGTAAAGGTTCCAGTTCTGTCCACCATTCAGCAAGCGGGTCTCATGATGGCTGTGCCGTTAGACATAACTGCTTACAATTGCATATTGGTTTCCTCTGTACTGAAAAGGAACATCGAGATTTAGCCGAGACCTATTTTAAGATTAATCCCTCTGCCCCTTCCCCTTAAACTAGAACATCTAAATCAGTTGATATAATTTAAGGAAAAAGGGAGTTGTCTGCTTGGAAAGAAAATATACAATTTTATCAAACTTATTAGTCTGTAGTATGGTCATGTTCTGATAACATGGCGAAAACAATGATGTGAAGTTTTTAGCAAACTCCTGGAAGAATTGCTTCAAGGTCCCCACCCTTTAAAATAACCTTATCTAAAGGAAAGGATGCAGGAAACTCAACAAAAGCTCTATCTAACTGCGGTTATAGATATTTGCGCTTTTTTCAGCATCATTTCAAGTGCATATAGTTTTCAGTGATCCACAATCTCAAGTGTCTTTTGTGTAATATTTATATAGTTTCTGCTTTTGTCTGTTCCTTCGTCTAGATATCAATGATTGCATTGACCAGTGCCAGCATGGGGGAACTTGCAGGGTATGTTGATATATATTTTCTTATGTTCATTCAAAATGGGGGGGGGGGGGGGGGGGAAAAAAAATAATTTTTGGTGGATACCAGTGACTCAATTCACCTGAATGGCTTATTTTATCTCTTGGGGAATCCACCAGTAAGATATGGAGGTCACAGCTACACCCCTCAGCTCATCCTTCATGGAGTATAGCAAGGGAGTCTTCACCTGTTAAAGCAAACAATTTAGGTAAAAATCTATATTTGAATTCTAAGATCCTGGTATGGCTGTGCGAGGCTGACCTGGCAATCATTTATTACCCCAAATAGTAGTGTAACATGGTGCAAAAGACTGAGTTTTAAATGTTTTGGGTGGACCATGGCTTTTTTTTTTTTTTTTTTTTTGGAAATTATGCCTCCTCCACCATCTTGTGAATGAATGAACTACAGGTAGCATGGCTGCTGTATCTGATGGCTTTTAGTTCTCAAACTGCAAAGGTACTGGTGAGAGCTCTTGTAGTTCATTGATCCTTCCTGGAGTTCAGTAACTGCTTGATCGTACGGAAGGTACAGGCAGACAGCTATATGGACAGTCTGTAGGAGCCTGGCATTCCACCCATGATCTGCTGATCATGCTTTACAGGCTGCAGTGTACAAAAAAAAAAAAAAAATTTTTTTTTTCTTTTAACCTGCAAAATGATGTACATTTTTATTTATTTTTTAATAAAACGTGAACTTGGCCTTTTGATGCTTCACTATACTGAGGTATCCTATGCAGTTTGCTATGAGACCTCATTTAAAAAAAGTCAGTGTGTGTCAGTGGCTAAATAGTTAGCCCTTCCACCTGGCAGTACTAGGGTCGTTGGTTCAAATCCCAACCAAGGCACCACCTGCCTGGAGTTTGCATGTTCTCCCTGTGCCTGCGTGGGTTTCCTCTGGGTATTCCGGTTTCCTCCTACACTCCAAAGACATGCTGGTAGGTTAATTGGATCCTTTCTAAAAATTTACCCTAGTATGTGTATGTATTAATATATGTTAGGGACTTTAGAAGTTGTACGCCCCTTGAGGGTTAGGGACTGATCTGAATGTTTTTTATATATATATATATATATATATATATATATATATATATATTTTTTTTTTTTTTATTAGTGCTACGTAAATTGACGGCGCTATAGAAGTATCTGTAATAAATATAAAAAATATGTTTTATTATCCTAGATTGTAAGCTCGAAAGAGCAGGGCCCTCAAACCCCTCGTGTATTTTGTTACTGTATTGTCTCATGTTCTGTCCCCCACTATAATGTACAGTGCTGAGCAAACCTTTCTGGCACTATATAAATACTGTATAATAAAATATATAAATCTTTTGTAAAGGTTCTCCCCATAAAAAATAAACAGTTTTTTATCATTTTGTGGCCTTGCGGATGTTCATGCCCACATTTTCTCTTCTGAACAGATGTTATTGTTGGTTCTAAATAAACAGCGTTTCTTTTGTTTCAACTTTTTTGTCAACTGCAGGACTTGGTTAATGGCTTTCGCTGTATCTGTCCGCCCGGCTATGCAGGGGAGCGCTGTGAGAAAGACGTCAATGAATGTGCCAGCAACCCTTGTATGAATGGGGGTCACTGCCAGGATGAAATCAATGGATTTCAATGTCTCTGTCCCGCTGGTTTCTCTGGAAACCTCTGTCAGGTGAGCGCTGGTGAAATGCAAACCTTCCTGGATTGTCCTAAGACCAACAACCCCCCCCCATACCTCCTCCCTCTTTTCTAATGATTTGTACACTAAATACCTTATGTTCAGTGAGGCTTGCTATATAGTCATACTCCTTACAGCTGTCTGCCAATAAAGTGTCGGTCTGGGGAAGGAGGGGGGGGGTGGTGGAGGGTGAGCCAGGGAAATCGAATCCATTAAGTTAAACAGATCACAAATGTTTTCGTGTTAGTTTTGTTATATGTTCCTAGCTGGCCTTTGGTGACTGTTTTATATCCTGGATGTGTCTCCTTAGATCTAGGCAGTGCAGAGCTGTACATTCTGCTTTAAGTAAAATTATTGGAGGCAGCTAGATGAAAAGGTCAGATTCCAGAGTCTCTGTTCTCTTTAGCATTGAATAGGGTAATAATAAAACCTTTGTTTTTGCTTCTGCTTTCCCCTCCAACATTTACAGTTGGACATAGATTACTGCAAGCCCAACCCTTGCCAGAACGGAGCCCAGTGCTTTAATCTCGCCACCGATTACTTCTGTAACTGCTCCGAGGACTACGAGGGGAAGAACTGCTCACAATTAAAAGATCACTGCCGCACTACTCCCTGCGAAGGTATGTGTGCCGTTGCTTGACACATGCTGGGCACTCAGCAAACACTCTTGGGTGCAGTGGCTGTGGAAGCGCTAGTGAACCACACAGGGTGATAATAAAATCCAGCTGTGCCCAGGCAGTTAAGTGATTAGTGTGCAGTAAGGTTTGCAAGGTTTTGGTGGAGGAGCGGAGGTCAAGCGAGCAGGGACAATTAAGTGCATGCTGCATTTTATGAGTTATTTTGGGCTTAAGTAAGGGGGAAAAAAAATCATGTGATCCAAAACTAAACAAAAAAAAAACTTAAATGCCTTTTTATTGAAAAAAAAAATAAAAACTTGTTTATAGAAACACGCATGATCTCACAATTATACTTTTTAAGGGGCTTTCCATTATTAGCAGCTCCTCCACAGCTGGGCATTGGTGCGAAGTATTGAACTTTGATCTTTTCGTGCAGATAACAGTAGAAAGAATTGCTTACGTTTTGTTAAAATGCAAACATCACTTTCATATTTTCACAACTGCAGTTGCATTGCATGCCCGCATATCAGTTGGCCGCCTTATTGTTAATTTTTTTGCAAAGCATTTTCTCTTCTTAAAGTGGAGTTCCTTTCAAAAGTGGAAGCTCCACTCGTTTGCCTCCTTCCCCCCCCTCCACTCCCATATTTTGGCACCTTTTTGGGGGGCAAGGAAGAGCGGATCCCTGTTTTTGACAGGAACCCGCTCCCACTTCCAGCGCAGTGGGACAGAAATTCTGCCCCCTTCTACCTCCCGCAGTCTCCTGGGAACCTTCACAGGCCCCAGAAGACTGCTGGACCAATGAGAATGCGCTGCACCAGTCACGTATGTGCAGTGGGCACCCGGCTGTGAAGCCGCAAGCTATCACAGCCTGGTGCCCACAGTTGTGATGCCGGAAAGAGAAGAGGCAGAGAAGAGACAGCGCAGGTGAGTACATCCCTGGACCCTGGGACAGGTAAATTTGTTTTATTAAAAGTCAGCAGCTACAGTTTTTTTTTTTTTTTTTTTTTTTTTTTTTTTTTGTAGATGCTGACTTTTAATAAAACACAGAACTGACTGGAACTCCTCTTTAAGTAAGGCAATGAAATGATGTATGCAGTGATCAATAACTAATCCGATTACTGTGGTCAGATTGGTGATTGGGTAATGTTGGTTGTTGTGGATTAGTGTATGTTGCATTAACTTTTTTTGGATAGACTCCGAGGGAGCATTATAACCCCTGTCATTTTTTTAGTTTTTTTAGCCATTGGCTTAACCTTCACTTCCTATCCCAGAGCAACAACAGGAAGTGAGAGGAGATCTCTGTAGATTAAGGGAATCCCTTGAGGCCTTCCAGGTCACCAGAGCTAGTGTCCCCATTTGGAAGATTTTTCCACCATTACTTTGGGGACAGCCCAAAATTTGGGGTTTTCTTTTCACTTTATTTATTTATCGAGTTTATATAGCGCCAAAGGGTTTGCTCAGCGCTGTACAATAGAGGGGGGGGGGGGGACTTTCAATGATCATGATAAACAACTGGGCACAGACAGCAATAAAGACCTGACCACTTTGTCCAAAACTTGAGAAAAAAAAAGTGTTTTGCCGTTTTAGTTATAATTTAGTGAATAAGCTTGACGTGATTTAGCTGCAGGCATAATGTCTATATTAACATTCTAGTCACTTATAGGAGTATTATACATATCTGTAATATCGATAAGACACTAGTAAAATGCACCATATCTGTGAGGGTGGGCAACATTTTAAAAGTAAAGTTGCAAGTTTGGAAATTGTGTGGTGGTGATTATGATTGTTGTTCATGGTTCTCTTTCTGGTCTTCTCCCCACTTGTAGTAATTGACAGCTGTACGGTTGCAGTGGCTTCCAACAATACCCCAGAGGGGGTGCGGTACATTTCCTCCAATGTGTGCGGACCACATGGCAAATGTAAGAGCCAGCCTGGAGGCAAATTCACCTGCGAGTGCAACAAGGGCTTCACTGGCACATACTGTCATGAAAGTAAGTGTGGCAGAAATTCCCAATCCCTCTTTTCAAAGTAAGCTCTTGCGATTACAGAGTACAAAGAAACAAATGGTTACCTGGTATGGTCTGGGACTTTCCCCAGATAACGCATAAAAAAAAATTTCACTGCTAACCGTGACATACTAAAATATGACAAACGGGAAATTCTGCTTTCAGGCAGCCTTGAAGTATCGCCTATACTTTTTTTATATAGTAGGTGAGCTGGTATACATTTTAAAATGCGTCATTTCACTTGTGTTCTAATGCTTGTCTAAGGACTAGTTCACATGGGCTTTTGAAATCTATTAAGGTCAGGCTTTTTTAACCCCATACAGGTTAATATGATTGCATGACATGTACATAAACACATTTTAGACACCCATGTGAGCTAATCCTTACAATGAATGCTTTTAGTTAGATCTGTCAAAGTTACATAGTTAGTCTGGCTGAAAAAAGACAAGTCCATCCAGTTCAACCATTAAAAAAAAAAAAAAAAAAAAAATTATAATCCTATACCCAGAGTTGATCCAGAGGAAGGCAAAAAAAAACCCAGCAAAGCATTACCCAGTTTGCTCCTGCAGGGAAAAAAAAAATTCCTTCCTGATCCCCCGAGAGGCAATCTGATATTCCCTGGATCAACTTTACCTATAAATGTTAGTATCCAGTTATATTCTGTGTATCCAAGAATGAATCCAGGCCTTTTTTAAAGCAGCAATCCACTGAGCTGTCCAGAACCAACTCTTGAGGGAGTCTATTCCGTATTTTCACAGCTCTCACTGTGAAGAAACCTTTCCGTGTTTGGAGATTAAATTTCTTTTCCTCAAGAAGTAAAGAGTGCCCCCTTGTCCTCTGTGATGACCTCATGGTGAATAACTCCACACCTGGTTCACTATATGAACCACTGATGTATTTATACATGTTGATCATATCCCCCCTAATCTCCTCTTCTCAAGAGAGAATAAATTCAGTTCCTCTAATTTTAAGTAAAAAAGCACTATGGCCTGTCAAGTGCATCAACTCAGACCAGCTAGTTGGATATCCGCTTTAGTCTGCCTACTGTAAAATTTTAAATTTGTTTTCAGGTTTGTCATTTATTACTTCATAACGCTCTTTATATTGTTACCACCTTTTATACTGTTACTCAAGCCTGCAGAAGATCATGTGAATGTGTGTATTCTGTCTTATGCCTAAATGATGTACTTGTTCTTGTAGACATAAATGACTGTGAAAGCAGCCCTTGTAAGAATGGAGGAACGTGTATCGATGGGGTGAACTCTTACAAGTGTATTTGTAGTGAAGGATGGGAGGGGACCTACTGCGAAATAGGTGAGTTTATTTGCTTCTCTGGATCGGGTTACTGTTTATCCCTTTTTGTAAGATTTTGGATAGTCAATGCTACAGAATTTAGCAAAGTATGTAATGGGTGTTAAATATTTTTTACTCTAAATACAATGAATTTTTATTTCAGGTACTCGTATAGTGCCATCAATTTACACAGTGCTTTGCATATATATTGTACATTCACATCAGTCCCTGCCATCAAGGAGCTTACAATCTAAGGTCGCTAGCTTACATTCATACATACACATAGGGCCAATTTAGACAGGAATCCGTTAACCTACCAGCATGTCTTTGGATTGTTCCTCTATCCATGCTAACCATGCACATGATCAAATCTCCCTGTTGGCTAATGCATTCTGACAGCTTGCACACAATATCTGAACAGTGCCTTCATCTGGATGGATGTAGGCAATGTTCAGTCGACAAATTTTTCCAATATTCTGCTTTATCAAAAGTCAATCGAATAACAGATTGGTTCTGGCAAGGCCATACACTACTTGAATTTTATCTGAGCTAGTCAGAATTTGAGCAATATATGGCCAGCTTTGATGTAGAAGAAACCTACCTGTTCTTGCAGCACAGTGGCTAGCACTTCTGCCTGACAGTACTAGGGTCATTGGTTTTAATCCCAGCCACGAAAACACCTGCCTGGAGTTTGCATGTTCTCCCTGTGCCTGCGTGGTTTTCCTCTGGTTACTCCGGTTTCCTCCCACACTCCAAACACATGCTGGTAGGTCATTGTCTCATATCTAAATTGACCCTAGTATGTGTATGCAAGTTAGGGACCTTAGATTGTATGCTCCTTGACGGCAGGGACTGATGCGAATGTACAATGTATGTAAAGTACTGCGTAAACTGATGATGCTATACAAGTAGAAATAATAATGTAAACTCCTTAGAAGGGTACATCCTTATGCTCTCTGTAAAGGGTTGCATAATTTGTCAGCGCTCTATAAATAAAACAAAATTTACCAGTCCTTCCATTGATTCTGATATCTACAGTCTATGCTGCCTTCATCTTTAGTATCTCACCATGTGCTGTGTTTTTGTTGCTGTTTTAGACATAAATAACTGCAGTAAAAATTCTTGCCACAATGGAGGTACTTGTCGGGACTTGGTTAATGATTTCTACTGTGAATGCAAGAATGGGTGGAAAGGAAAGACCTGCCACTCCCGTAAGTGTGTGTTTGTAACTGGAGCTAAAACGTTGGTGCGTTCTGAGTTCTCATCCCGATAACAATATTCTGGTTCTTGCAGAGGACAGCCAGTGTGATGAGAACACCTGCAACAACGGGGGCACCTGCTACGACCAGGGGGATACATTTAAGTGCATGTGTTCTCCTGGATGGGAAGGCACCACTTGTAACATTGGTAAGTGTCCGTAGAGAAGGCTTCCTAAATGTCCCTGATTAGAGTGATTTATTTCTCCTTTATGTAATTGGGTGGTGTTCCTTTAATTCATATTATCCTAGATTGTTCCAGTAAATGTCTTTAAAGTAACTGTATAAAAAAAAAATGAATCCCACCTTTTAGCATTGGCATTTCAATGGTCAGTGACTGGGCATAAGTGCTTTCATATGGGGGAGATTGCTTAGCTTTGTGCAAGTTTTGGCTTTATGAAAGTCCAGGCTCGGCCAGACATTTTGGGGGACTGAATATCTGGATTAGGAGGTGGGGGGAGGAAAGACTAGGCTTGCATTAGCAGCAGTGCTTGTCACACACCCCTTCTTAGTGGATCACTTTTCTGAGGCATCTTCAAAGGCATTGAGGTTATTTTTATATTATATATATATATATTATTTTTTTTTTTTCTTACTAGGGTATTGATAGTGCTCCCCTAAGTTATGTTAAATGTATTCTTGGGTTGTGTTAGATGAAAAATGCATACACTTTTTTTGTTACAGCAGTACTATGTGGAGAATAGAATTGGACTGTTTTATTTCTTGACTGTCCTGTTCCCTGCTCGGCTCTCATACTTTCTTTATATTTTCTTCATAGCAAGAAACAGCAGCTGTTTACCAAATCCTTGCTTCAACGGTGGAACTTGTGTTGTCCACGGGGACTCTTTCATTTGCGTCTGCAAAGAAGGCTGGGAAGGTCAAACATGCTCTCAGAGTAAGTCTGCTTACTGAGCTGTGCTGGAAGGGGTAGATCAATCCACAGCTAGACAATTAGCTCATCCTGCCACCCCCTGAACCTTAAATTGAAAGCAGAAGTGGGAAGTGTTTGATATGGACTTCAGCATCACCTGAATCATGTTTTGCTATAACATTAAGTAACAGAGGCTGAACCTGGGCATGAGAAAGTTTTGAATGAGATAACCAGAGACAGATGTTGCCCCCATGTTTTCCTGCATTCTCAGCCAACAGCCTGCCTGCTTCCCTTCACTTTCATCCAGTCTGGCCCCCCTTCCTTATACAAAAGCTCTTCCTGTGTTTGCAGTTTTATGTATGCAGCTTGATTTTAATTACAATCCACAGGCCCTATATCATTTTAATTTGTGCTTCTGATTTGTGTTTGCAGATACCAATGACTGCAACCCACATCCATGGTAAGTAAAGCAAACCCAGTAAGGTGTTCCTGTGTCATTCTACGTCAGGGGTGATAATTGGAGGGGATGAGTGTTGGAGATACAGAGCTTTACTTAAAATGAACTTATCAGGACAGAAATATAAGCCCTTTCAATGCTGGCCTTTCCTTCATTCACTAATAAGGCCCCTTTCACACTAGTGGGCCGATCAAGACCACCTGTCTGTTTTTCAGGCAGACCCAATTGGACTCTCCAGTCCCCTTTATGGAATGGCAGATGTAAACAGATGTGTCCGTTTACACACGTCTACATCCGATCTTGCCCACAAATAAACGATCCATTCCCCATCCGTCTAGCGGTGCAGATTGGACAGCAGTTAGGTGTAAATGGACAGGCAGTCCATTTATATCATTCCATCCATCCATAGAGAACAGGCTGTGTCTGTGTCCGCTCTGCATCATTGCATCATCGTAGCGGACACGGACCAGGCATCTGCTTGCTCAGTGAGGAATCGGCAGATTCCCTGCTGAGCAAGGAGACTCTCCCTGCGTGGATGTATATTTTATTTTTTTAAATGTGGGGTGGTTTTTTTGTGTTTTTTCTGTACTCAGACATGTTCGTATAAAAAAAAAAAAAAAAAAAAAGCTGGGGGGGGTTAAATTGACACCATTGCATTTACCAAGAGCTGCATCAGCTTAAGGTGTCAAAGTATTTTATCCCTTAGGCCAGAGGACATGTTCAGAAGTACTGAAATAAATAATTATAAATGGAATGGGAGGAATTATAGAACAGTCTAGGGCCTTGTCTATTTTGACGTGCCACAGCAAGTGAACTGGGGTCCCATTGCTTGGATTTGTAATGGTGCAAGGGTAGGAGGGGATGGAACCTAAAACCTCTTGTGATGGAGAATATCCATTGTGATGTCCAAGAAACCACATTCTAATGTCGAGGTAAAAACTGTTTTGAATGGACTAATCCTTTAATAACAGTACACAGAATCATCTGTGGTTAACAGAAGAGGCCAGCATTTTCAGATTTCAGCAGTCAGTTGTAGTTGGACTTAAGTGATTTGGTTGCTTCAGGTTACTATGCATTACACATCTCTACTAAACACACATTTAGAGGTTTTTGTAGTTTGTGAATGGTACAGATGTTCATATATAATATGCAAAGCATTTAAAGGACATTCAACATGCATTCAAATTCAGTGGTATTTTTCAAATGCTGTATGCAGAACCTTCAATCCTGCTGTTGGCATTCTTTATATTTAAATATTTTTTGTAGATGTGTAATAACTGTAATTTTATAGCCAGGCAAGCATGGACTGCTATACAGGCAGCCTAAGAATTTCTGTAAAGGGTGCCAATTATCTTGTCACATTCTTGAATTATTTCAAGTTCCAAACACAATATTAATATCTGCTTAAAAGGAAAAACTTATGTTGCAGGTTAATGTCCTGTAACTGTTTTTGAATGTTTATTGTTTAGCAGATATTTTTAAATTCTTTTTTTTTTTTCTAGCTACAACAGTGGAACATGCGTAGATGGGGACAACTGGTATCGATGCGAATGTGCACCCGGATTTGCTGGTCCAGACTGTAGAATTAGTAAGTACTGCTGTTGCGTATTTGGAAAATCACATACAAAAGTTTTTGTTGCAGATAGTGAAAGTTTGGTTAATGGAAGGCTCACATTGTATGAATGCACACTGGTCTCCTTAAAGTGGATCTAAACCCATGGATTTAACCTTTTTAAAACCATTAAATTCCTGGCATGCCTTGTGCTAACAACAAAACTGTCAAAATCGTCAAATGGCTGGTGTGATAACTAATCACATGTGCAGCATCATGACAATTGTAGATCAAACCGGGGATAAGATGGCCGTTTCCTTGGCTGAAAAGCATGGGAGGGTTTTGCTCCTCTTTAAGTTGAAGACCATGTTGACCAACTCTTCTGGGGTACTGGAGTCAGTGGGAACCTTGAGGTGAAAAAGGCTCTGTTTGGATTTCTAGCGCACAGAATTGATTCTACTGATGTGTAAGGGATGACTGGTCCTCATAAAATATTACTCAACTTTCATCTATAGAATGCGACATCTAAATTGACCATAACCAGTCTGGAAACATTGAGGTGTTGCCTATATAGATACCATCTTCATCCAGGTTAGATGTTGTTGGGGCCTGTGTCGACGGGCTTTGGGCTTGCTTCAATGGCATCAATTTGTCTGTTAGTGTTTGATTTTTAAAGACCAATTATGTCAGTTGGTCTAATATGTGAAAGTTAAAAGAAAAAATTTTTATGTCGCCCATAGTGGCAAATCAAATTATATTCTTTTCATGTTTCTCATCCCAGTTAGACAAAAAAAAGGCTGACTTGTTACAATGAGCCCTACAGGCAGTTCTCACAAGGCCCACTCCTACATGAAGTGCTGTATCATAAATATTGTATAATCCATTTTGATTTTAGTGTTTGCTTCTGTGGGTTTTGGTGAAAAATAACAATTGTTCCTGTCTGCTGTATAAAACCAGGCCATTAAATCACAGCAACAGATTTTGTGTAATTATACCTTGGGAAGATCTAAACTGTAATTTCTGTCTAAAGTGGTATTCTCCAGTCCCTTCATTTTGAAATGGTGTTCTGTCATAAATGTTAACGCTGTAGATTTCACACCAGATTCCATGTAGAAAGCCATACTAGTGATAATACAGCTGGGAACCTTTCACACACACACACACACACACACTCATGAATAGGCCTGCTTGGATTTGGCTGGCAGCCAAGTGGGGTCTAGCTGGCATATGGATGGCTCTGTCTCTCCTCTTCGCAGCCTGTTTTGTGAAGGGCCGAGGGCTGCATGCTCACTGCTGGCTCTTGCAATAATGGAAGCTTTTCTGTATTTACACTTCGAGAGATTGGGCTTCTAAGGGAAGGTTGATGAAACTTTGATGGTGGTGGGCCATTGCTCCGAGTAAAGATCATTTCACTAGAGATGTAGAAACATATCTTTTTAACATGATAGCTACAGCACATATTGTGTACAAAACCACGAAAACTAATTGCTTTTAACTTGTTATACACTGCAACTGTATTTGACAAACATTTTAGCAAAATCATTACAGGCCCCTGTTGCCCCTGTAAGCTCAGTCCTAAAAGGAATTCCACAATGGGAACCTGTGCTATTCCAAAACTGTTACTAACCCATCATACTGATTGCTTTCATAAAATCCATTTTCAGCCTATTAATGTATTCTCTTTATACTGTGAATATAATTTAAATTTTTCAATGGCATTCTGAATAAATATCACTTTTGTATATCATATATACCAACGGTCACGTATGGCTTTATTCATAAGGAGTGTGAGGAGACATCAGTCGATTATTCTGCATAATGGTGACCATACAAGTTGTTTAAAAAAAAAAAATGATTTATTTTACTACCAGAATAATCTGGTAGACATCATTGAACTGGAGTTCACAACACATTCGATCAATGTCGCACACAAGGAGGTGGATTTTAAATGACAGGAGTTAGTTAATACCATTGTACGTTCTCAATTGCACCTCTGTTTCCACCGTGATCTGATCAGAATATGACTGTATTCATATAAAAAGTATTTGTATACAGTTGATTGATGTAAAGTGATCAAAATATTTTTGTCACAGCCCATCAACTTTGAAGCTAATAACGAAGAAAGTTCTGGCTATTCGTTTGTTTGCATATTTGATCAGTTAAAAAAAAAAAAAAAGTGTATGGCCACCAGATCAGTACAAGATGAACCCTAGTTGGTTGCTATGAAATATTGTACTGACACCCTTTATTGAACAAGGTCAATATCTTTGTGACCAGCTTGGCAGGAGCTCTACCATGTTCAGAAGTATAGGTTATGTTAGATTTTTGCTGCAAAAAGGTACTAAACGGTTTTGTTGTACGTAAGACTGGATATTTTCTGGATAATAGGACTTATAGGACAATAAAACAGATGTTTTTTTTTTTAGGTTTTCAAATGCTTTTGAAGTTTCTATTGTACCCCTGAAATGTGGAATAGTGTTGTTATTTATAGTCTTCAATACCATCTTAGCCATGCTTTCTGAACATAAGGGATACTTCAAAAACCCGTGCATCTAAAATAAAACAAGATCGGTAATCATTTTGAAATTGACTTGAGAATTGCACGGTTCTCTTGTCACATCTCTAATAAATGTGAGCTTCTACTTTAAAATAAGTATCAGAAGAAACCTGGATTATATGCACCTAGTCTTTTTGGGGACTGGTGTATCAAAATGTGCTTTAGGAAAGATTTCTTGTATCCCATAAAAACAGTCCGCTTCCAGTTGTCAGTTCTGCAGCTAAAAATTAAATGAGGGTTCTGGTTGAGTGATATGGGCAGCAAGAACTGTTCCTTGCTTTAAATGTGGTTTATATAGGTATTTCTTTTGATCCCAAGTGTCAAATATGTACATTCCATAACTTTTCTCTTTTAGAGTTTTTTTTCTATTTTATTGCCTGTTACGTAGCTTACTCAGTGTAGATGTACAACAAATTAAGGCAATGTGATATTGAACTGGGTTTCTTCCAGCATGCTTGTCTAATTTGGGGCTGATGGCCAGTGGCAGCTGGCTGGAGTTGGGCCTTTCTCTGATTTTATTTTTTTATAGGCCCTGTGAAAAGAAAATGTTTTGAAATTCCTAATTTGATCAGACGTTGCATTTACCGTTTGTGTCTGTTTTTTTTTTTTTCCTCAGATATTAATGAGTGCCAATCCTCCCCATGTGCTTATGGAGCAACATGTGTAGATGAAATTAATGGTTACCGTTGCATCTGTCCACCTGGCCGTAGTGGTCCAAAGTGTCAAGAAGGTACTGCCAGCTGCAACCTGTCATTTCAAGTATTTATAGCAGCTGTTCAAATTCTGTGTTCATTCTAAAGTTGATGTGTAGTCCTGAAACAGTCGAGGCATTTGCTCTGACCTTGAGATAGTCGATACTTGGTAGTCTAAATATTGGCTCAACCTACAAAATGTGGCTTTACAGTAAATCTGTCACAACTTGGACAGGTCACTTGGGCAACTGTTCCCCTGACAACTCGGTTCACTTTAGAGTGATTTCCTCATTTCTTTGTGACTCCAGGGCAGGAAGCAAAAGGAAATCTCCCTAATGGGACACTGGTATCAAAAATAACCTGAATAGGGCTGGCAACAGTATTGAAGCTAAAAAAAAAATCAACTTTATTATATGCTCAACAAAGATATAAAATGATCCAAATCAGACTGACTCATTTCAGCCCAGGTAGGCTTTATTCCACCCAGGATGAAACGCGTCAACCGTTTTCTGTATATAGCCCAAAATAATGAAAAGAGTGCTGCTCGAATGCTCCTCCACACCAGGTGTTTCAATGTCAGTCGGATCAGCATGTGAAAGGATTGGTGCAAGACAGACTGAATTGACTTGTAGACTTCAACAAAATGGCCTCTACGATTTAAGTCCTCAAAAGGGCAAAATGTGGAGTTCTGTACAGATGAACAGGAGCTGAATCCATTTTCCCATTTCATCACATTTATGCCACAGGGAGTCAGTGTCTGTGTGTAGATGGCCACCCTTTTTGTTTCAGACTACTTATGTTATCTTTGCTGGGCATATAATAACGAAGATGGGTTTTTTTTTCACTTCAACACCGTGTTGCCGGCCCTCTTTTGTACAGATGAACGGATTGGTTTAAGTGGCTGTGATCCATGCACAGGTATAGTTGTCTCATATTTGTCGAAAGGGTTGTAGCACCACACCATTGCATATTATAGCAAACATAACCTGGTAGCGGATTTTAACCCTTCCCTACTCCATTTAAAACCAAAGAAAAGTTTTGGCTCTACATACACTTGAAATAAGCCAGGAAAGCTTATTAAAGGTGGCTAAACGTGTTACAAATGCCTGCTGTACATCCTGCTCTTTAACTTAGCATTTACAAGCTCAAGCCTGTTTTCCATTTTATCAGCCCCCTGCTATTTTTTTTTTTTTTTTTTTTTTTTTTTTTTTGTCGTCCCAAGATTACATGGACAAATTCTGGTCCACCAAGGTTTTTGGCTACAATGACTTTTAAAGCAGCATTATTCTGTAATCTTTGACCAATACCAATAGGTTTTAACTGAAAGTGACACCAAAACTTTTAGTCCCAGAACATTTCTGCTAGTTCTTGATATGAAGGCCTATTCTCACACTAGTATTTGTGCAGTTACAGGAAAGCCTTGTCTAATTAATGGACATGCTACGCCAGATGGAGCCAAATGGGATGATGACTGCAACGCCTGTCAATGTCTCAATGGAAAAGTTGCCTGCTCCAAGGTAAGCTCCTTATTTTAATGTTGTCATACAGCGTGAAGAGCAAGATCCTTGAAAGCCTAACGAGTTTCGAGCACAGTCTAAAATGATTAAGTGTTTTGCTTTCAAATTCAGCCGTTTGTACAGAAAAGGGCTGTCATCACTGTTTAAGGACAGGATGCATACAGGATGATAAGGCGGCACACGTCATGCCCTGTACACACTTCTGATTGTACAGGAACACTATGTGTTCTCGTATGCTGTACCTGATTTTCCATGCAAGCTGTTGGGAAACTGACAGAACGCCACATGAATTACCGAGTCTATTTACAGGATCATTTACTAAGGCAAATTGTAGCTATCTCTAGCAACCAATCCTCCATACAAAGATTTGGTGTAGAAACATCTGGCTGCTAAAGGTTACTGCACTCTTCACATTGTCATTGTTTTTAATAGACTCATTGAATGGATGTAAGTTACCTGTGGCAATGATCTTTAGAGGTTGGAGAAACAAAAAAATAACTCATCAATTTGACTTCAGTTATTTAAACTTTTGCAAATATGAAATGAAAATGCAAAAGGCAAGTTTAATATCTTTAGCCACAATGCTACTTTCAGTACAAAGCAATTTTGAAAACAAGATCAGGAGCTTAGAAGTTCTGATTTAGAAAGTTAGTTTTGTAGTGCCGAGATTTTCCTGCTCACAGCTAGCTTCCTGCTAGTAATGCGTTACAGGTAGTCCCTCCCCAGCCTGGTTGATGACAGCACAGAACAAAGGTTGGCGCTCAGCTGTAGCCACTGTAAATATGTTGCCAAATATCTCAAGTGGTAGCAGACGTTTGCACAGACTTTAGTGAATGTTTATAAGACCCTTTTAAATGGAAAGCGGCCTATATTTTAGCATTGCAGATTGTTATTCATTTTATTAAAGGTACAGATATGGCACCGTCAATTTACGCAGCGCTTTACATATATATTGTTCTTTCACATCAGTCCCTAACCCTTAAGGAGCGTACGGTCTAAAGCCCCCAAGTCACATTCACACATACTAGGGCCAATTTAGACAGGATCCAATGAGCCTACTGGCATCTCTTTTGAAGTGTGGGAGGAAACCCACACAGGCACAGGGAGGACATGCAAATGCCATAAACTCAAACAAATGTCTTAGACTCTCTTTTGACAGTGTCAAAACTTAGAAAATGAGAATGCACAGTGGGCTTTCAGTTATAGACCTTTGTTGATGTTTTGTAGGTGTGGTGTGGCCCTCAGCACTGTGACTTAAACCATAAAAGTCGCAATGAATGCCCTCCCGGACAGTCTTGTGTTCCCATTAAAGACAACCACTGCTTCGTTCCTCCCTGCACTGGAGCAGGGGAGTGCTGGCCTTCCAATCGGCCCTCGCTGAAGACCAAATGTAACGCTAATGCCAGCTATCAAGACAACAGTTGTGCAAACATCACTTTCACCTTCAACAAAGAGATGATGTCACCGGTGAGTGAAGATGGACTTGATACTTAAAGGAGTACTGTTTGCTTTAATATTGTTATAGCATGTATGAAGCCAAGCAAACCAGCTTATCTAAGTTGGCCTGGGCACATACTGTAAAGAGGGCAGAAAAGAATGTATGAAATGCCTACTGGGCATGCAGGCTACAGAATGCTCCAAAAACTTGTCAGCTCTGATGGAGTGTGATCTTGTGACCTTTTTTTTTTTTTTTTTTTTTTTTTTTTTTTTCTCTAAATTTTGCCCTAGCACACCTCTCATTTCAAAGAATGTTGCCTTAAATAGTCAAAATTTTATTTTTATGTCCAAGCAGCATGAGTGAGTCTCCATTGCAGACATGAACAAAGCTTAAAACTATGGCAGGTCAGAACTTGCCACTGGAGCCCCCAAAAGACCAAAGAATACAGCCACTAGCACAGCCCAGCAAATTAAAGATCAGTGTTTGAGCAGACGCACTCTAATTCTTTTCACTCCTTTTTATGCCTTTTGGTTCTATTTAATGCATTTTTATTTATTTTTTTTTAATTTCTGGGGGTTCATCACACAGATACACGCAGATGAGTTCTAAGCTCCACATCAGTGATGTCTTTAGGTTTTATGCTGCCCTAGGCAACACAAAAATCAGCCCCCCCCCCCCCACCCCATGCAAAGAGAGCCTGACATTGACCAACACCGCTGCCCCCCCCCAATCGAGAGAACCTTCCACTGCCGCTGCCCCCCCATACACCAGCCACCCACGGTGAAAGAGAGACATTCACCTTCACAACTCCGGACCTCCCCAGGAATGAGAGTCAGGCTCTGCATACACAGTCATGAAAACCACAGCCTCTTTCGGAACCCACCAGGTCCCCATGCCCACGTGTGTCCCTTCTTCTATCCCTTTTTCCGAGGGGGAATTCTTACCCAATGCCGCCCTAGGCAAATACCTTGTTTGCCTTGTGGTAAATACACCTCTGCTCCACATGCTTCTATGTCACGTAGCCAAGAATTCAAAATGTAGGAGATCAAGAAGTCAGTGGCCAGTTTTGTGCAGAATTAGGTTTTTTTGCTCTTCGATAAAGCTCGCCCAACTGTATCTTTGCATTAAATAACTGAAGCCCAAAGGTATATCCGCCTTGTGTACATTTTCTCATGCAGGGGTTGTATTGTTTGGGGCTGCATTTCTAAAAATATAACCTAATTTGCCTTTGTGTGATCAGGGCCTCACTACAGAGAGCATTTGCAATGAACTGAGGAATCTGAACATCTTGAAGAATGCTTCAGCTGAATATTCCATCTACATTACCTGCGAGCCATCTCCTTTGGCAAACAATGAGATCCATGTGACTATAGTAAGTACAGTTCACACAGTGGGGGGAAAAAGGGTCTACATACCATAAACTGGAAATATAAACCTTTTTATTGATAAGACCGTTGCTTCCATAATGTTCTAGCTCTGAACATTTCACAATATCTTATACAGAATAAAAATCTGGACATAACAGAGGTGGGTTGATCCCTTACTAAAAACTACTTGGAGAGAAGCCAACTTTTTAAAATTTTTATGCAAAGTGTTACTAAACCCACAACAGTAACAATCTCAGTCTGTATATGCAGTAGAGCATGCTTGTTATACTTCCTGTGGAACCTAAGGGGTGGTTATTCTGCATTGTGTAAAAAGGTTGTTTAATCCGGTCTTCTCTGATCCTCTCCTTCCACTGTCCCCAATCCATCTGCTGATAATACTGCGCTCTTGGAGTCACTCTGAACATGCTCAGTGTGTATTACTAGAGATTTTTTTTTTTTCTTTGAGAGGGTGCATGTGGTCAGCACAGGACCAAACAGCACTGTCCAGACACAGGGTCAGGGGTTATGCAGTCTCATGACAGAGGAGAATGAAAACTTCTCCTACAGGCTTTTGACTGTCAGTGTCCAGCTGAGCACTGGTTAAAGACTGCTAAATACCTTTTCTCATTAGTATATAGCCGTTTTATATTTACTACAACAATTGCATTTCCATGTGGTGTGTACCGTGGGAGACCAAGTATAGCGAATGCAGGATCCTGAGTTTATTAACACTTTAAGTAAATGGAGTGATACAGAATATAGACAGCATGGTACTTTACATTTCATGGTGTTTTTATAAACAGAATTTTGTTTTGTTTTTTTTTTTTTTCAGTCTGCTGATGAAAACAGAGATGGTAGGAATCCTGTTCAAGAAATCATTGAAAAAATAATTGACCTTGTGAGTAAACGAGATGGAAACAACACTTTCATCGCATCAGTGGCAGAAGTCAGAGTACAGACGCAGAGTAAGAACAGAACAGGTGAGTTTTGTAGCCATCACAAGCATAACCTAAACCATTTAGTGCAATGCATATGATTTCACCAAATCTAAAATCCCCAACTTGAGCAAAGACATCTTTCGGTTTTGGAGAGAGTGGGTAGGGGTTAGAACAAAGGCTGAGTTATTTGCATTCAAATGCTTCCCTAAGAACATGTGACACACAATATGGGATAGGAATAATAAAATATAAAGCGAAGCCTTCTGTCTTTGACACAAACAATAAAAACCACCTCTATGGCACAGTTGGAGAGTCTTGCTCTTCCTATCTTTGTAACGGGACATAAAGTTTGGAGGAAAATATCCTGGAGGGGGAAACACACACTATGACCTTGACAGATCTCCCAGCCCATTCTGTTCAAAGTGGGAAAAGATGCTTTGGCAGTAGTTTGGTGCAAAATACTCTTGATGGTATTGCCCATTCTTGTAACATCCATATGAGGGCATAGTAGACATACTTCTGATGGCCTAAAGTGGTTGAGAAGGCTGACGTTTTTTTTTTTGTTACCTTCCTTCATTCTATGCAAACCTCTTGTGTGCAGCAGCCCCCCCCCCCAATACTTAACCTGAGCCCCCTTGCAATCCTTCACTGTGCACAAGATCCTTGGCTCTCCAAGGACTCTCCCTCCTCATTGGCTGAGCCAATGGCTTCTGCTGCTGTCACAGCCAGTGAGTCAATGAGGGGTGAGAGAGGGGGCGGGGCTGTGTCGACTGTGTGTGTAAATGGACATGCAGAGCAGCGACCCCCCAGAGTGGGCCTGCTTGGGTGCTCCCATAGCAAGCTGCTTGCTCTAGCAGCTCTCGGCAGGAGGGAGGGGCCAGGAGTGACACTGGGGGACCCGAGACGAGGAGGATCGGGTCTGCACTGTGCAAAACCACTGCACAGAGCAGGTAAGTATGACGTGTGTTTGTGTGGGTTTTTTTATTTGTTTTGGTTGGGTTTTGTTTTGTTTTTTTTTTTGCCTTTAACCACTTGCCCTCCAGAGGATTTACCCCCCTTCCTGACCTGACCAGGCCAGTTTTTTTACGATATGTTTCTACGCTACTTTAACTGACAATTGTGCATCATGCAATGCTGTACATAAATTAAATTTGTCCTTTTTCTTCCCACAAATAAATCTTTCTTTCGGTGGTATTTGATCACCTGTGCGGGTGGGTTTTTTTTTTGTTTTGTTTTTTTTGCGGCATAAACAAAAAAAGACTGACCAATTTGGAGGAAAAAAAACTGTATTTTTCAATTTTTGCTATAAAACCTATCTAGTAAAAAAAAATGTAAATTAAATTTCATCATAAATTTAGGCCAAAATGTATTCTGCTACATGTCTTTCTAAAAACAAATCCCGATACGTGTAAATGAATTGGTTTACTTGAAAGTTTTTTTTTATAACGTCTGCAAATGGCGGTATATATGGGAAATTTGGTTTTATAGCGGGACTGTGATGGGCATTCTGATACAGGGAAGGAACTAACAGCACTGATTACTGTATTAGTATCATTGGGATGTCAGTGGCAAATAAAAAAGCACTGATACTGTACTAATGACACTGGACAGGATGGGGTTAACATCTGGGGCGATCAAAGGGTTAAATGTGCGCTGTTTAACATAATGTGCTGTGTGTGTTTTATACCTGGGAAACATGCTACTGTGTATTTCTCTGCTGTGCAGAGAAATTCACCTGCCAGCAGTAACATGCTGCTGTGTGAGACCTGTGGCATTTTTAGACATAGGTCTCTCCCCGTCACTGTTTCTTGGCGATCTTCGGGTGCCGGCAGGGGAATCTCCGGCTGGGACCCTGTGATCGACATCCATAGCTGCCAATGGTGGCATGAGTAGGGCGGCGTGCGTGCCCCCCTACCAGGAAATGCAAATCGTGTGTGTAGATAGATAGATGATATGATTTTGCTCAGCCCTGCCGCCCTGTAGCAGTATTTCTGCTATAGGGCAGAGGAAAAGCTGTTAAGATCACTTTAGGTATCGTTGTAGTATCATTGTAGCACTAGATTATACAAATGTAAATCCATTAACAGTAAGTATGTTCAAAGCTTTAAACTATATAAAGATATATGCAGGTGAAAGAAAACATCATTGTAACTAGACTGTATATCATAAAGGTGTCAAAGCTGGCGATATCCGCTGTGGTTGGAAGCAAAAATGACCCACGGGACAAATGGTGTATTAACCTACCAATCCATGATGCCATATCAGTTGTTGACTTGAGATAGATAGAGAGAGATTTTATTAGATGTGACCATAAGTTCTCATCTCTCTCATTGTTGTGTGTTTTATATTTTTTATGTTGTGTGTGTGTGTTTTTATGTTTTTTTTATGTATGTGTGTTTTGTTTTAGCATTTATATTTTTTGTGTTGTTTTTTTTGTTTTGTATTTTGTTATTTTTGTGTGTGTGTATATATTGTGTGTATTATATATTATGTTATATATATATATGTGTTGTATGTATATATGTGTTATGTATATGTGTGTATATTTATTGTGTGTATATGTATTGTTTTTATATATATTTTTGTTTTGTTTGTTTTTTTTTTTTTTTGTGTTTGTATTTTTTTGTGTTTTTTTTATTTATATATGTGTTTTTTTTTTTTTATTTGTGTTGATTTTGTTTTATTTTTTTTTTTTTTGTATGTTAAATATTGTTTTTTTGTTATTGGGGTTTTTTTTGTTTTTTTTTTTTTTTTTTTTTTTTTTTGTTTTTTTTTTTTTTTGTATTTTTTTATTTGTTATTTTTTTTTTTTTTTGTTTTTTTTTATATTTTTTTTTTTAGTTTTTTTTTTTTTTTGTGTATATTTTTTTTTTTGTATATTTTTATGTGTGTTGTGTTTGTGTATATGTGTGTGTATATGTTATATTTTTTTTTTTTTTTTTTTTGTGTGTGTTTTTTATTTTTTTTTTTTTTTTTTTTTTTTTTTTTTTATTTTTTTTTTTTTTTTTTTTTTTTTTTTTATTTTGTGTATGTTTTTTTTTTTTTGTGTTTATTTTTTTTTTGTTGTTTTTTTTTATATGTTTGTTTGTGTTATTTTTTGTTTTTATGTTTTTGTATTTTGTTTTTTATTTTATTTTGTATTTTTTTTTTGTGTTTTTTATATATTTGTTTTGTTTGTGTTTTTTTTTTTTTTGGGTGTGGGTTTATGTGTGTGTGTAGTGTTTATGTGTGTGTATTTTTTTTTTTTTTTTTTGTTTTTTTATTTGTGTGTGTTTATTTATTTTTTTTTTTGTTTTTTTTTTTTTTTTTGTTTTTTGTGTGGTTTTTGTGTTTTTTGTGTTTTTTTTGTTTTTTTTGTTATATTATGTGTTTGTTGTGTGTGTTGTTTTGTTTATTTTTTTATGTGTGTGTTGTTTGTGTATGATTTTTTATGTTTTTGTGTGTGTGTATGTGATTTTGTATTTGTTGTGTGTGTTTGTTATTTTATGTGTGTGTGTGTTTTTTTGTTTTGTGTTTGTGTGTGTGTGTATATATGTGTGGTGTGTGTGTTGTATATTTATGTGTGTGTGTGTGTGTGGGGTTGTGTGTGTGTGTTGTATTGTGTGTGTGTGTGTTATTTTTGTTTGTGTGTAATTTTGTGTGTGTGTGTGTGTGTGTGTGTGTTGTGTGTGTTTGTGTGTGTGTGTGTGTTTGTGTTATGTTGTGGTTGTGTGTGTGTGTGTTGTGTTGTGTTATTGTGTGTGTGTGTGTGTATATATATATATATATATTTGTTTATATATGTGTGTGTGTGTGTGTATATATATATGTGTGTGTGTGTGTGTGTGTGTGTGTGTGTGTTGTGTATATCTATTCTCTATCTATCTCTATCTATATGACCACAAGTCCTCATTGCTTCTATGCATGACTTGATATATATGACCACAAGTCCTCATTGCTTCTATGCATGACTTGATATATATGACCACAAGTCCTCATTGCTTCTATATAATGACTTGATATATGACTTGATATATTATATATGACCATAAGTCCTCATTGCTTCTATGCTATTTCAGATTTCCTTGTACCCTTGCTGAGCTCCATTCTGACCGTGGCCTGGATTTGTTGCCTGGTGACAGCTTTTTACTGGTGTATCCGGAAACGGCGAAAGCACACCAGCCAGGGTCACGCGGCCTCTGAGGACAACACCACAAACAACGTGCGGGAACAGCTTAACCAGATCAAAAACCCTATTGAAAAACACGCAGCAAACAGCGTCCCCATTAAAGACTACGAAAACAAAAATTCTAAAATTGCAAAAATAAGGACACACAACTCAGAAGTGGAAGAAGACGACATGGACAAGCACCAGCAGAAAAGCCGATACGTCAAGCAGCCAGCCTACACGCTGGTAGACAGAGATGAAAAGCCACCTCTTAGCACTCCCACAAAACAACCAAACTGGACAAATAAACAGGACAACAGAGACTTAGAAACAGCACAGAGTTTAAAAACCGGATGGAGTACATTGTATAGCGGACAGAGGCACTGCCATGCAGAGCTGGTGTTTGCTGTTAAGGGCTCGGGAGTCTCTAGTTCTTAAACTGTTGTGTAATATTTGAGTCTGAGGCTATTATTTACTTAGAATCCCTATGTTAATTTAAGTTTTGACAAGCTGGCTTACACTGGCAAAGATAGTTGCTGTGGTTGGCTGGAATGCCAAGTGCTGCATTTCACATCTATGCAAAACTAGTCGAAAGTGCCCTAATGTAAATTCAGCCACAGTTAAAACATCAAAGGAGACCCTCCAGAAGATACTGCATTGCCTTTCCAGTTTGCTAGCTCTTCATTATTTTTTTTTTTCCTCTCCTCCACATTTTCGACAGGTGACCACAATTATTCAGTCTTTAGAATAATTATTTTTATTTATATTTATTATGTATATTTTTTTATTTTGTATATTTTGTTTTTATAGCAATTTACAACTAGTTCTGTATTTGAAAGTGCCTTTGTAGCTCAGAACCACAGCAACTATCATAAAAATTTATTATTTATTTTTTTTTATTGTATTTTGTGTTTGGGATGGGGGAGGGGAGGGGTGGGCGAAACTGTCAGCTGTTGCTGGTAAAATGAAGAATTTGTCATGTAGACATTTTTGTATAGACCTGTAAATAATTCCTTTTTTTATTAATCACTGTGTATATTTGATTTATTAACTTAATAATCAAGAGCCTTAAAATATCATTCCTTTTTATTTATATGTATTTGTTTAGAGTTGAAGGTTTTTGATAGCTTTGTAAGCTTGTGGCTTCATTTTTTTTTTTTTTTTTTTTTTTTTTTTTTTTTTTTTTTGAATTCCTTTCTTGTTACATGTTAACTGTATGCCAAAATTTCCGGTGTTCAAGAATAGTTTTTTTTTTTTAAAAAAAGAGAAAATAGGAGGGGCACACTTGCCTTGATGCTGTTTTTTGTACAATGTCAAATGTTAAACAACTTTATATAGTATCACTTTCAAAAAAAAAAGAAAAAGAAAAAAAAAACTTTTTGTAAATTCCAACTGAAACAGTTTTTTCAGAGGTAGAGTTTAGAACAACAAGTTTAGAACTTTGCTGCTTTGGCTTTGATATAAAAAAAATAAAAAAATAAAAAAACTATATCGCTGTGACTGGCAGGTATTCTGCTACAAGGCAGTTCAAGGGAACATGTTGAGCTATTTCATGTACAAGAATTGTGAGAGTGCATGTAAAAAAATAATTAAAAAAGTCAATTAGTGTGAAGTTAACTCCGCAATCTTGTTTTTGTAAAATCTCTGATTATTTTATATATATTTTTCTTTCTTCACTTTGGAAATGTAGTAAAGGACCACTTTTTTGTAGATATGTTTTTTTTTTTTTTTTGTTTTTTTTGTTTTTTTAATCTACTGATACTAGGAAGTATACTGTTTAGCTAGTTATTAAATACTTGAACAGTAGAAGTCCAGAGATCACTGTTTGTTTTTCATCATTTTCACACTGCCTGCCATCAGACCAAGGCATTAAAAAAAAAAAAAAAAAGTTTTGCTTTGAACTTTAAAAGACAACTCCATTAAAAGCCAATTGATGGAATGAGATTGACACTCACCTCTGTGCCATCATTAGAGTTTCAAATTCTGGGCCACACATTTCTGAAACCCCCTATTTATGTGCATTCTGGCTTCTGTCAGTTATGGGAAATCTCAACCTCAACCAGAGACTTGTTGGGAAACTGCAACTCCAATGGGACTATAGTTCCTGACTCCCCCATACTTGATCAGGTTCTACGTACTGCCTCTAAGTGGACTAATTCTTGAAGTCTTTGCAGAGGAATACTGAGTTATCTACATTCTGGGAGTCCTCTGACAAAAGGTACTCCCAAGTTGTAGCAAAAAAAAAAAAACCAAGCATCAACAAGTACAGCGGTTCTACAGGTCACTGCAGCAAATGTCTATGTGTCTGCACTTTAGAGAGATTTACCACCAAGCCGCCAGCCAAGGAATGTGTGCAAATTGTCCTTAATTGTATATGGCTGTCTCAACCAGTATGTGACTGGAAGGCAATTACAAACCACTGAGGAAAAAGATACATTTTATCATTTTTGCACCATGAAAATTGGTAAGCTTGGGGCTACACAAGAGATTTCTAATCTGAAATTTAAAAAAAAAAATTCCTTGAAGAAAAGTAATCATTACTCTGTCCTGCTACAGGCTTTAGGTGATTGCTGAGAGATTAGCCTTACATGATTTATCTCAGAGGTATACCTGATGAGAAAAAGAGGGGAAAAAAAAGTATCATCCACGGATCATGTGAATGATGAGAAAAAAAAATTCTTCTATTCAGGTCTGTGGAAGAGATGCCAAGAAGAGTGGAAGTGTTACCAATTTCTTTCATATCTGTTCTCAGTTAAAGAAACTTGTCATAAGAAATTGTAAAAGCCATTGCTGGTTGCTTCTTTTGAAATTACTAGATACCTGGCTTTCATGCTGGCCTGCTTGCTTCAGTGCTTTGAGTCAATGGCCTGGAACAAGTATGAAGAGAAGAATGTCTACCTTGCCTCATCTGTGTCTGGTCATTGAATTGCTGAACACTGAGGGTTAGGATAACAGCCAATCAACTGTTTATTTTTTATTTTATTTTATTTTTTAGGGGATTGGCAGCAGTAGCCTCAGGCCAGCCATAGATGGTTTGAATCTCTGGTGGTTCAGCAAGGACTGGCTGAGATTCGATCCATATTTGGGCAGGCTGATTATACCCAAGTTATCAATCCACTGATCAACTTGATAACAACCAGCATGTTGGCTTTCTAGCACGTGATTATTGCCAGCGGCTATAGTTGCTAGCAGTATCAACTGTTCTACTGGCAGGGATGGATCCCTATGCCCCCCCCACCAGGAAAACACAGTAGTTCCATGGGAGGGATATTCACCCATCAACACAGAATCGAACGATTTTAAATTTTTTCTCCCCCTTTCCTGCAACCTGTGGTTGCAGGAAAGAAAATGGCATAATCTGTGGCTTTAAGTATTTCTCTCATGACTGGTTTACTTTAAGGCCCAAGTAACCTGAAAAATGTTTGCACTACTAAATTTGTCAAACCACTATTTGGCCAACAATTGATCCATAAATGGTCAAACAAATGGCTACCTTTTCGTGTAAGGTACTTAAGAGTAAAAAATCACACACAATACTGTGTAGTTTGCAGTGTAAGTAGCCTGTTCCACCCTTGATCCATCAATGGTCTATGGTGACCTTCGTAGCATATCTGAGTCATTAAAAACTTTCCATGTAGCTTAAGCATGAGGGCCTATTCAGACCTTTGCATTGGGTAAAGTGCGTCAAGTTCATGGCTCTATGTATGTTGTGTCTGCAGTGCCATTTATTGTAAATGGCACCCCAGTGGACTGTACAGTAGCAGCCAACATACTGCAATGAAAAAAGGGTCATGGTTCTTTTTTCCCTCCTTGCAGTGCATTGGCAATCTATCCAAAATGAATAGGCTGCTTTACTGCAACGCATGTTAAAGACCTGCAACAGACAGGCTACGTATGAATGACCCCTCAAAGGTTTAGATGTAAATGTTGCAATTTATCATATTTTTTTTTTTCTGCTATTGTGAGATTAAAATCACTTGTGTAGTCTTATGCTATGTGTGGATTTGCATGGTTCTGCCTCAGAGGTGGTTTAGGAGATAAGTGTGTGTGTAGTAGGGAAACCCTACAGCATTCCATTCAAAGGCATCTGCATTAATAGGAATGGTATTACAGTACTGATCCCAGTGCAGCTTCTATTATTCCAAATCTCCATCTTCACCCATCAGTTGCCACTGAACCTAAAAATTCCCTGTCTTGTTATTTGTGTTTATATAAATTTTATGAGTTTCCGATGTTCAAGGCAATAAATTTTGAAAAGTAATATTTATTAAATTCTTTTTGTATGAAAACCTATGAAATTTGGATGTTATGTTTGTCTTGCACACCATTCATTAGAAATGTTTTAATAGAGCACCTATTTTTTTTTGCTTCTAAATCTGTTCAGTGAGATTGAACTCTGGTGCACTATGTATATTAATTTTTTTTTATTTTTTTTTAACAAGGCAGACAATTGTCTGAGAGCATGCTATGAAAAAGGTACCTAGAAATGTTTTTTTTAATTGAGAGTGTTGGCAAGCTATTCATTTCAAAGGTCTGCCTTAAAGCTGATCACCAATTTTTAGTAAAATTTGGACTAATGGACTAAGGTGGTCCAAAACAAACTATTATCTTCACTAAATGTTGCAGTGACTGGGAGCAGTGTATAAACTGTATGTAGCCTCAGCTATATGCGGTGCTGTTTTCCGGCAGAGGAATAGGAACGTCCTGTCTCATTCCCAGAACAAAATCTGAATACAAAGCTTCTCCTGCTTGGCTGAGGCAGTGAAGCGGGTGGATGACATCACAATCTCCACCTCAGCCAATCAGAGGCAGTTTTGTATTCATTGCTAATATACAAAGCTTCCTGCTAATGACTGAGCAGGACTCGGCCTGACTCAATTTTGTTTCTGGAGTGGGACGGAAGTTCCCATCCTACTGTTGGAACACAGTGCTGTACTGTATGGATCTAAGGCTACATACAGTTTTTATACAGAGATTCCAGTCACTGCATCAGTTTGTTTGGAACAAGCTGGTCCAAAATGAATTGACTTTCACAAACTATTTAAACATCATTAAAAGCTGGAGATTAACTTAACACGAATTAATGAGCTACAAAAATGTAAGTGGGCCCATCTATTGTAGCTTACCAGTCCATAGATGTGGTGATTCCATTTAGTTTATTTTTTCAAGATTTTTTATATTTGATTTTTTGTAACTGATGATCCTGCCACCTGTACTGGGGGCACAACACTCAGTGTAATGAATCTGTGGAGGAGCAGCGTTGTCACCTAGGACAGGATTACAGAACCATTCTCCGCTTCTTCATAACATAGGCAAAGACTGAAAGAACAAATAAGAGAAGTTCATTGTTAGGGTTTATTTTTGGTGTG